AATGACTGCAATACAGCTTCTCTGACACTGAGACCTAACTGCACACCTATTGTGCATTTAAAGTTATGAAGTATTATGAATCATATAAAAACACTCACACTTTTGTGTTGAAATAATATGGCTAGTCTATCATCCATGAAATCTCAACTTGAACTTATTAGTACATAGTAAGATCATAGCAAATTCATACTCTTCATTCAAGAACACAGGATTTAACTCAAGGCTTTTTTCACCAGTGATTTTTTTCCCCTGTTCCCAGGCTTTCTATAGGTTAAGGAACTGTTCTTGCTGCTGCAGCCTTTCCATGAGTCTTCTTTGCTGTCTGTTGATTGTTCTCTGTATTCTTTTCTTTTTCCACTCTGGGGATCTCTTTTGAAGCAGATGTCTCTTCTGTGGCAATAATTTCATCTACATGTGGCTTAATATCTGATTTAGGAGAAGTAATAAAATTTATTTTATATTTACAATGCTCAGCATTATGGAGGTATGTTCCATTCCTTTTCCCACACCCATTTAAAGACATCCAGTATCACAAATAGCGTCAGTACTTTTCAGAGAGCCAAACATGACCAAGTATTTCTGTCCCTAATTAAATAAATTAATGGACGGGACCTGCAGAATATGTACACACAGAAATAATTGCTTCTCATGTAAGTAATCACATTTACAGAACTGCTCAGAAATGTCCAAGTCACCCAATACCAGCAACCAAGAGAGAGAAGAAATGCAGTTAATTACTGCTTCATGCATTAGCAACAGAAAGGGGAGGAAATAAGAATATAAAATGGTCTGTCATAATGATATAACATTTTTGTAATGTTTTGTTTGTGCAAATGTATATAAACAAAAAGTATTTGGGCAAAGTATATAAAATAGGTATTCAGATAATGTTGGAATTTAAGCCTTATTGGGAGATAAGATGCTCTGAATGAGGAAAATGTAATTGTGAAAAATAAATCAATGTCCCAGCAGCATTTATAGAAGAGTCTAAAATAAGGGTAACAATCTGTAGTATGCAAGAATGCTGAATCACCAGAGACCTTTTTGTTTTCTGCTCTTTCTCTAGTCTGAGTGGAAAAATGGTTGTAATTCCAAATTTGTCATCGAATGTGGAGATAAAACTGAGAAAGAACAATTCACTGATTTCAAACAGTAGCTATATGGTCAGAAAAAAACTAAAAACTGGTTGAGAAAATTAAGTTATTTTGGCATCTGTGGTCTCTCAATTACCCTGGCCTATTTTTTTGACAGTGCCATTTGTCTAGCTGATAAAAATAATCTCTGTGTGTATACGCGTTTTCTCTGCAATCAGCAATTGGACTGAATTATTATGCTTTAAAAGCTTTTGTCAGTCAGGTAAGCCAAGATGAGAGCCTGTAGCTCAGTGGGACAGGGATTTAAAAGTGTTGATTTAAATATCACTAGGTTTTATTTAACCTGGCAATTCCAGCTTTGCATTTGTTGTCTATTAAGAGCATGCATGCTGTAAATTGGATTGTTGGAGACCTGGAAGGCAATGATTGTATTATTGCATAACATTTAACAATTTTTCCTTTGGAAGGGCCATCTGTAAAGGTGAAAGTGTTCTTACCTTTCTTTTCCTTTTCCTGTTGTGGTTTGCTCATAGTAGTTGCTTTTTTCTTTTTGGGTACAGTTATGTTATTTTGACTTTGTCCTGAGATGCTAACAGTGTGCTTAGCTGTGTCAGTCTGGCCTGACACAGTAATCACAATCACCTGTAGCAGAGCAAGAACAAAATTGCACAAGCAAGAAATGGTAATATGTGACAAATTTTGTTTGAAATCATCATTGCTGAGTCCCTGGAAGCAATATGTATAGCAACAACTATAATTTAGGGCATGTACACCTTCTGAACCAAAGGGATGCAGAATCCAGATTATCTGGGAGGTGGCCCACTTCTTGTGTCACCTTGCAGTTCTGCTGAATGAATAGAGGCAGGTGAGCAGATTTTAGATGATGAAGTAGTAGAAACAAGCTACTGCCCAAATGCAATCCTTATTTAGATTACACTAATACTAAGTAATAAACATCAGGTTTTGCAAGGGGCAAGTCAAGTTCTTGTTTGGGCTCGGGAAGATGGGCAAGAGATGAAATGTTGCTTTTACATGCTCTAGGACCAGGGCAGAATGACCTACTTTTCATCCTTAGGCTGGCTTCCTATCATACTAAGTAAAATTGTGAAATAATTTGACATTTCTTTGTTAAACTCAGAAAGCTTGCTGCATCTCAAATTACAGATATTCCCCTGATTGTATTTTGAAGATTAATAATGAATTAATTTTACTTTGAAAGACAGCTACATTAACTAAATAGTCTGAACTATTTTTAACTGAGATTGTGATTCATTAATGTACATAATTGCACACTTTAAGATTGCAAGAATCCCATTAAATATTTGAGTTTGAAGTATTTTAGTAGATAAGATTGTGTAATGACTGAATATATTTGCTGTTTATGTGAGATTCTGAAAACACAATACTTTTATGTAATTTAATGTTAAAAATCCCTCTGATGTGAAATTAATTCTAGAAGAAAATAAATTTATGCCAGATAAAGGTAGCATGTAGTACTTTTCATTGTACTGGACATTAAGAAATCCCTCACACATCCACTTGGCCTTCATCATTAGCTATGGCTGGCAGTAAGCCTCAGATGGTAAGGATTTAAATAAGCATTAGCTGAGCAGAACTTATTAGTGTCATCTTCACAGAATCATGGAATCATAGAATCATTAAGACTGGAAAAGACCTCTAAGATCATCTAGTCCAACCCTCCACCTACCACAAATATTATCCACTAAACCATGTCCCTAAGTTCCAATATCTACCCTTTCCTTAAACACCTCCAGGGACAATGACTCAGCCACCTCCCTGGGCAGCCTATTCCAATGCTTCACCACTCTTTTGGAGAAGTCTTTCCTAATATCCAACCTGAATCTCTCCTGGTGCATGTTGAGGCCATTCCCTCTTTCCTATCGGTATTACCTATGAGGAGGGGCCAATCAGACCTCTCACTGGCTTTGTTGCCCTTCTGCAGACACACTCCAGGGCCTTGATGTTTTCCTTGTAGTGAGGGGCCAAAAATGAACACAATACTCAAGGTGTGGCCTCATCAGTGCTGAGTACAGAGGAATGATCACCTGCCTGCTCCTGCTAGCAGCACAATTTCTGATACAAGCCAGGATGCCATTGGCCTTCTTGGCTACCTGGGCACACTGCTCACTCACGTTCAGTTGAGGATTGACCAACACTCCCACGTTCTTTTCCTCCATGCAGCTTTCCAGCCACTCTGCCCCAAGCAGAGCTGCCCCTGTAGCACTGCCTGGGGTTGTTGTGACCAGAATGCAGGGTCTCACAGTTGGTCTTGTTGAACTTCATCCCATTGGCCTCAGCCTATCGATCCAACCTGTCCAGACTGTAAGGTCTTCCTACTCAAAGGCAGATTGACACTTCCTTCCAACTTGGAGTTTTCTACAAACTTAGCGAGGGTTCCCTCAATTCCCTCATCCAAATCATCAATAAAGATACTGAACTGGATGGGCTCCAGTAATTGAGTCTATGTCAGTAGACTTTCCTTCATCCCCCAGGCTTGTCAAGCTGGTCTTAAAAGGAGATGAGTTTGGTCAGGCAAGACCTGCCTTTCATGAATCCATGCTGGCTGGACCTCTGTAGGCCTCCTTTTTCTTGTCCTTTACCACAGTGGCCAGGTTGAGCTCATACTGATCTTTAGTCTTTCTGATTTTCACTTTGCATATGCTAGCAACTTCCTTGTACTCTCTCCAAGTTGCCTGTCCTTTCTTCCTGAAAAGCCAGTACTGCAATAAAATGAGTGCCTAGGAAACACCACTGTTTCTGCAGTTGCTGTAGTTAAAAATGACAAGGGAAAGTATGTAAAGGGTGCACTCAGATATATCCTTATATAGAACACTGAAAATACATACAGCAGTTCTTTAGATTTTGATGTGGAGAACTGTGCTATTCTGAGATTAATTCTGAAAAGAATTATTAATATGGCACATTACTCTCCTAGTTAGCAATTGGGCCGAAAACAGCTTATGAGCATTTATCATAGAATCATATAGAATGGTTTGGGTTGGAAGGTACCTTTAACATCATCTGGTTCCAAACCCCTGCTATGGGCAGGGACACCTCCCTCTAGACCAGGTTGATCAAAGTCCCATCCAGCCTGGCCTTGAATGCTTCCAGGGATGGGGCATCCACAATCTCTCTGGGCAACCTGTTGCAGTGTCTCACCACCCTCACAGTAAAGAATTTCTTTCTAATATCTACTCTAAACCTACCCTATTCCAGTTTAAAACCATTTCCCTTGTCCTGTTGCTAAATACCCTTACAAAATATCTTCTGCATCATATGATACGTACACATCCAATTGAACGGAAATAGATACATGTTCCATTGCTACTCTTCAGTTAATAATCAGTGATATTGTGGCAAAATGGCTAACAAGGAGCTTTTAATATATAGAAGTGTATTCTGGATCTGGATGAATGGTTCTGAAATATTTTTGGATTTGGATGAAAGGTTCTGAAATACTTTTGCCTGAAAAAAAAAACTTTTTTTCTACTTTCCAATGAAAATTATTTTCATACTCTCAAAGGATCTTGAATAAATATATTATTTCCTCCAGTGTTAATTGTGGATGAAATTGTCTGAGATTTCAGTCTAACAATGTACTTACCTAATACCCTTCTATCAAAATTCACGATCAGAACCACATGAAACTACTCCTGTGGCTGAATTGGCAAAAATGCCTTGGTGAGTTGTGAAGCAGTGAAGGTCTGGACAGAAAAACGTGAAGTGATGCCATCAGGGTTTTTCTGGTAAAAGCTTAAGTGAAGATTAACGTGGTTCTAAGGGAAAGCTAAAAGCAATAGTGGTGAGTGTTAAGATGGTAAGGTGATGTGAACAACCAGGACAGCCGTGACCTCCAAAACATGACACAGTGAGACAAACTCGTGATAGAATGAAAGAAATGAATCCATTTATTTGTGAACATAGAGATCATACATTTCTGCAGACACATGCACACATTAGTTTTCTGGTCTCCTAAGTCTAGTTTTCATTTATATTACAGTACTTTTACCCCAATTGGGCAGATTAAGCAATACTTATGGATGTAACCTACACCCATATTAAGGCCTCTCTAAATTAACACAGCAATACAGAGGGACCTTAATGTAGACGAAGACCAGCACTAATTTCTCTGTAGTTTGAATTTGCTAACACATTCCATCTATGCTACATTACCAAAGTTGGAACAAATCTAAACTGCTGCTCAAAATGCCTTGATCATTTTTCAGTCTTTCCATCTATCCTGTCAGTTGCCTCCACTCAAATGCTTCTTCACTCTGAGTTGGTAGGGTCCAACACCCCAGGAACGAGGTAAAATTGTGCAAATGTGTTTACAGCCAGCATGCATTTGGCCTAGGTGAGGATGGCACAGCTAGGTTTTGTGAAGTTAGCAGTAAGGAAGTATTTAGGAAAGGCACTATTTTCCCTGGCACAATTGAGCACATTAGAAACACAAGTGAAGTGAATGGAAAAATCCAAGGCTACCTGCTAAAACAGAAAGCCATTTACACACACATTTTATGTCAACATTGTCATCCAAAATCTCCCCTATGCTTTTGTTTCTACTCTTACATTCATGCTTTCGTTTTCTTGTTTTCATTATTGTTCTCTTGCTCTTCCTCTGGTATGAACACACTTACGGTGACATCGCTGGTCTCCGTTCCATACTTGTTCTTCACCACAAGGCTGTACTTCCCAGAGTCGTGTGTGGACACAGCAGAAATGGTGAAGCTGACATTTTTCCCAGCTTCGAATTTCAGGATGCAGTTAGCATCTGACACAAACGATTTTTCGTTCTTCAGCCATGAGACTTCTGGGGCAGGATCTCCCCAGACAGTGCAAGACAGATTGAGTGCCTACAGAAAAAGTACAAAAGGATTGCATATAAGTCAATAAATATTTGCTGTGATTTTTGATGCATAATTTTACAAATGTTCCCTCTCTCTGCATTTCTCTTCCTGCTTTTAGTAAATGGATGCGTATCATCAGCAATCAATAGTTTTTATCAGTCTCCTCTATTATAAAGGAAAAGAAGGAACTCAATTTGAAAACTCCATTACAAAGTTTTCAATATTTTATGCACCTTCTTCTCTAATTGATTACCAGGGCCTTCTCCATGCATAATGTTCAATATAAAATCATCTATTACCTGCATTTTTGTGTAAGACATAAAATAAGAATTTGAGGACCTATCAGGCAGATTTGTTCAGGTTAAGCTCTCTATATATTTGCTACAGAAGAAAAGAAAGCATCTTCCTTTTCAAAATAGTAACTAAGTTCAAAGTGTCCCTGGAATATTTTGTGCAGTTTAGGATCTTTACATACCATGCCCTGACAGCTCCTCCAATGGATTTGAATTGTTTTATTCACTCCTATAAAACCAGTTTTTAATGGAAATCAAAACAAACTTTACTGTTTCTTTGGTGCTTATGTAAATATTTTGCTTTGATGCTAGTAAGGTTATCCCCTCCTCTGGTCACAGTGCTGTGGGAATATTCTCACAGACTTTGCCGAAGCAAACGTCACATAGAGAGCCAAATGCGAAATGCTTTCACATGAAACCTCAGAGGCACAAATGCCTTTCTCTGGGCCTTTCTTTAGAGAGGAGTAAATTTATTGCTAAGCACCAATAGTGCATGGGGCGAAACTTAAAATGTTGGTCAAAGCAGAATCTAACCTTTTCTCTAGTGGAATTTGAAGGACTTTTACTGCAGACAAAAAGGTGTTCAGTGATACATAAGGAATGATGGCTGAGGCTCCACCTGACTGAAATCAAGTTTCTCCTCAATTTTTCTTAAAGCCTCTTGATAAGAAAAAAAAATAAACATTCAAAATAGAGGCAACTGAAAAGGATTCATATTTGGGCACTACTGCTGTCACAGTAAAAGGCCACTGTGAGCAATCAATTTAATTTTAAGGCTACTTTCCTTCCCTGCTCCTTATCTGGTAGTGTGACAGTGGAAGATGGGACAGAATAAAGGCATCCAGAAAGCTACTGAAATGAAAAGATAGGGTAAAAATTGAGAACTCTATTAAAATAAACACTTCTGAGAACAAAATTCGAACTAACATAAATCCCACATCCCCTAAAGATTAAAATGAAAACAAAAGGGAAGGCAAAATATTTCCTCCACCTCCAACACATTTATCTTGGCAACACATATATCTTGACGGAAAGACGTGTCCTGAGTGTGAGGTGGTTAAAGCCTGGTGGAAACGGCCTCTATCTTACATCCTGCAGCACCTATAGTTGATGATAACATGGGGACTGTGAATGCCTTCTCTTGTAGCCCACTGGTGAGAATGTGGTTTTGACCACCGTATCAATCCATCTTTTTGAAAAACATGAAGAAAACAAATGGCTTTACATTTCTCCCTTTCCTTTAACACTGTCAATACAAACATGCCATCAGCTTTAGTCTCAGCCAGGAATTACACACATGTCGCTTGCAGTACTCAGTATTTCTTTATTGTGTTCTAGTTTTCTAGCAAGCATGAGATCATTTCTGAGTTGCCCCAGCTGCCACTGCAAGATGCTAATGAGCTTATGTCCTCATCCAGACTGCTGTGTGAGTGACGTTATGCAAACCTCAGGTGTTTGAAGTGGTGTCAGTACTCCTTAATTCAAAGAGCTTCAGTAGCAAAAGACAGAGTCATCACTGCAAAGTCATTCCCTAAAACAGTCACATTTTGCTTAACCTCACATCACTAGCTCCTGTTTGGAATTGGTTCTCCTCCGGATGTTTCCAACTCTTATTGCTGATTTTCCAGCGACTACTGTGCAGAGATATATCTTATTATTCACTATGTAGATGGCGAGATCTTCGGTCATGCCAATGTTTTTTTGGAAGACAGCTCCACAATTATGGCACCTTAGCCAAATGGAAGTGGTTACCCACTGTGGCTGTACCTATCAGCTGCAGATTTTCTGTTCTTTGAACAGGATACTGTCTTTGCTTATGTGTTCATATCATAATTAGGACTCAAAACACGTCTAGACCTTATGGCATCTATCAGGAAATCTGATCTATCTGAAAAACCTCATGAGCATGAGCAAACCTCACCTCTCAATATTTCGGAGTTCCACAGAGAAGTTCACAACCTAAATCTGTAGCTGGGGTACAGATGGCTATACAACTGGAGCACCTAGGTGCTTCAGGTCCAGGCCTTTTGTGTTTCTGCTTGTCTTTTTTGCCTTACACTGCAGATTATCATGAGTAGGGAAGTACAGCAGCAGAGGGAAACACGTTGTATTCCAGATACTGCTCCTCTCCCTGCGTGTTAGCACATACCTCCATGGGTAGTTTGGGCAGTGCGTGAGTTAAAGCAACAAAGTCATGGGAGCTCACTCCCTTCTTCCAGCCTACCTGTGGAGGCACCAACCCCCAGCAGAAGGGGAGAATGGGGAGCTGGTGTGTAGAGGGATGTAATGTATTGCTTTCATGTTTGAAAGTGTAAATCTGTCAGGATCCAGAGTGTTCTTGTGAAAATAACCCCCTCTTAGTTTTGATAAAACAGCCACTTAGGTTAATCTGACTGTCTGTACACAAAACTTGTGCTGGTATTTTCTGTCAGATAAATTCTCCCTAACATGAGCTGACACTTAGCCTTTTTCCAACTATATCCCCATGCTGAAGTGCATTTATGTATGTCAGCAGAAGCCTCTTAGGCCATCTGGAGCACTGTTTGATCAGCTCTGGTAGATGCAATACCTTCAGCTCACTTGTAGAAAGCCAGAAAATAGCATTACAATCACAACATTAAGTCTGTGACTGAGATACGCATATGCTTCAAGTTCAATATAGCAGTACCATTCTGTTCATAGAACTTAGTTATGGCTGAATATGGCTATTCAGAATCAGAGTTTGCTATTGCCAGTCTTCTGCTACCGCATTTACGCCTTTTCAAAGGTGATTGTGCAGTCTGCATGGATTACACAACAGATGCAGTGAACCGCCTTCCTGTTTCTCCAGTGTGTGCAAGCAATAGGCAGATGAGCCAACATCACCCAAACAAGCAGTGCATTCCCCAAACACTCTCTGTCCTACTCTGTTTCTCAAAACAATCATCTACTGCGTTCAGAATCATGAGGTCAGGGATATTTGTCTCAAGTTCTGGGAATTTTCCATTCACTTATTCAAACGTCACAAATGTCCTTGCTTTCAAGGGCAATGAGTGTCTGGGTAAGATTTTGCAACTCGTTTTTTACAAATTCCCTTTTCTGTCAAATGTACACAATTTGCTTCAGCGAGCTTATACTCAGCTTTGACTCTTTTTGGCAGAGAGCTTAACACTGAAAACAAGCCAAAGCAGTATGAGAAGTTCATCTTCAAGCACAAGCAGCATTAGATGAGAGTCTGCAAATGCACTCCATTCCTTTCTGTATTCCACCTACCATTAAAATATTTGTATGAATGCTGCTTGTTTTTACAGTATTCCCAGAGCTGCTAAATCATTCAGTGAAAAGGTTTATCAAATGGTGTTTCACTTTACAATGCCAAAATGCTCAGTGTTCCCTGAATTGCTGTAGCCCACTATCTGATAGCTACGGATTACAATGTTAAGAGACTCAGACCAAGATTTTAGTCTTAACATTTCTGCCCAACTCATTATCAAATACCTCTAACCCAGATGAACCACTACTAGTGAACGTGGAAATACCAGGCAGCTGTTTTGCCGTAGTTGTCATGTTACAAGTTTTCAGCTGTGCCTACTTTTGGTGCTCGCCCACATTTAAGAAAGAAAGTGGCTGGTGGCAGAGCAGAGGGAGGTGAAGAGCAATTGCTTTTAGTCTCAGTCCTGCTGTACTACAACCTGTAGGAGCAGAGTGCTGGGGAAAGTTTATGGGAGTACAAACTGACCTCCTGGGGCATCTGGTCTGTCACTGAGCAGTGGCACAGCCATGTTCCCAAGAGTGCCTTACAATAATCTTTTTGCTAAATGCTGCTGATATAATCTTGTGTAATGCCAGTGCCTTCTGACTTCATTTCCCACTTATGCTGATGAAATACAGAAAACTTTCTCCTTTGGTCTGGAAGAGAACTGAGTTACAATTTACTAGTTTTATGCTGTTTAAAAGGCAGACTACTGACTGTAGTGCCATGCTGTGAAAAAGTTAACTCCATCAGGTACAGAACGAGTAGCCATCCTATAAGAAAAAGGGAATTAAAACATTCCCTGGTGGAGCCTATATCAATGGCACCCTGTTAGTAAAAAACTGTGAGGCTTGTGTATGAATTTTTAAACAGCTGGTTACATAAGGAGTTTGAATCACAGCTCACACTGTTGTCTCACTTTTATCTAATTCTTAAGAAAAGACACTGCCCCAAATAAATAAACCCATCTGTGCAAGACCACTGAGTTATGTACAGAAAACAGGGAATGAATAATGTGATGGATGTCATAGATGGAATCTTTAAAAATAAAATTAAAAAAAAAAAAAAAGAATATTTTGCTGTCATTGAAAGACATTTGAGCTGTTTGGCTCTTGGGTAAAGCTTCAATGAATTCACTGTACCTTGCCTTCCTGGATGGTGACAACATCGGGCAAGCCTCCAAGCACCCGGGCGCGATCTGAAAGGAAACGAGCATGATTTACTTTGGTGTCTCAAAATCAACTGCGTCCCAGATTCTGTTCCCCCTCCAGTTCTTTCCTCTTATCTTATTTATGTACAACGTGTCTCTGATATCTGTGCTGGGAGAGAACTACTCAGCATTCTCAGCACACCATTTGAACTTTAGAAACATTCCATTCGCAGCAAAAGAAGCGTTAGCAGCTGGTGTCAGTCACCTACCGGGCAGAACTAAAGCCTGCGTGGTGCATCCTGCACATTTCACAATCAATTCAGAGTTACTTGTGATTACATACAGAAAATAATAATACTGATTTTTTGAGATCCAGTGCCGTAAACAGCGGGATAGATGAGAAGTGATGTTTTTGAGAAGAAATAAATGGCAGCTAAGAAAGTGCTAGAGCTTATGTTTTGATCTAAAAAAGGCTGCAGTCTCAGTGAAAGCAGTGAAATTTCTCTGCTTTGCATGGATCTCCATGTAAACAGGATCAGTATCTGGCCTACAGCTTCAAGCTCAAAGTCCCATAGGAATCTTACATAAATACAAATAAGCTGATCACATGCAAGCTTTGATGCAATTATTCTGGAGCAATGATTAGGTTAGTTATAATCTTGGTGGAGTCTGGCAGAGCAAGGAAAGGACAATAGAGAATATTCTCATCTAATGCACTCTGTAAAATATGCACTCTGGAGTAAATGACAACCTGATGAAGCATGACTACACTATATTTGCCATCCCTCTATGAATCATGCAGTTAGAAATGAACTGCCCAGGGCAGGGTCATTACTGGTCCTTTCCTGCTATCTCAGCTGGGCCTATCAGGAATTGCTGTATATAGCACAGCCAAACCCCTTTCTCTTTGGAGTCTATGTCCAGTGAGGAGTTAGCTCCAATCCCTCTACCCATTTTTCTCTGTTTTTCTTAAAATCCAGTTCTGCTTTTGTTTTTATACAGGTCTGGAAATCACCTGCACTGAGATAACTTTTTGTGTTATTACATTTTCCTACAGATTATTCTGGAAACAGGAAAAATACTGATCTTAATAAACCAACTTGAATTCTAATGACTTATTCCTCAGACAATTATTACATATTTTTATTTTACTTGTTGTGTTGGAATTGAAATGTATCCAAAAGTGCCAGAAGATTCCCAGACCTGTCTTTAGACTATGCAAAAGGTTCTGCTGCTTTCTTACCCACCTCTTTAATGCAGAGCCATTTAACATTTCAAATAGTTCAAAACCAGCTGAGTGATTTCCTCTATCTCAGAAAACAGAGTGTCTTTTAGACATAAAACATGCATGAGATATCTCAACAATAGAGGTAATTTTTGGATAAAGCCAACTGGTAATGAGAACAAGATCTTAGGCTGAAAATATCCACACAACCCACATTTACAGTGTCATTAGCTGCAATGTGCAAATATTAAATCACTCTCCTTGCTTCCCCCTAGTGCTAGGCCAGCCAGAGTTAGGACATGCACATACATGTACACATGCATACGTGTTCTCTTTCTCCCAACAGGCAACCTTCCTGTGTAGGGAGAGAACCTTCATAAACCATTTGTTGCAATTATGATCAAAGAAGCCTCACTCACTTTTCTCTGCAATTGCAGCTTGCCTGGATTGAAAAGAAACAAAGAGAAAATTCAATTTCATTTAATGTTTACATAGAGTGATTGAAAAATAGATTGCTTATCTCTTAATTTATCTTTGATCAGTTAAAGAAAACGCCTCTCATCATTTGGCAATACTGCTTTTTCTTCATTACCTAACTGTTGCAATGCAGTCACATGCAAAACTCCTACAGGTTTCTGTAGGACTAGGATTTATTTTTAGCTCTAGCACAAAACAAACAAATACCTTTATTATTTTATGGGTTCTACTGCTGGATTGCATAATACTTACTTTAATCTCTGGAACTCGGCAAAGGCTTCATCAAATGCTTGATAAAGAGAAAAGTTGATTTTAAGGGTAGGTTCAAACATAGGCTATCACAAATGTCATTATAAAACGTGGAACTAAATTATAAATATAGACATCATTAAAGAAATATTAATGTATGGAAGCATGCTGTGATACTATATAATTTCTACAGTGCTAAATGATTCAACTGATAAAGGCAGTCATGTATCCAGCAACTATTTATACACATACGCATGCATGAACACTTATTTTTCTCTACTAAAATTGAAAATTTAACACAAAGACATAGGGAAAGAACATTAGGTTGAAATTACCTCATAAAACAGAGGAAGTAATCCAAAGTATACCACAATAATGCTATTCAAGCCTTTTTGATCACATACCCCTATTAGTAAAAACAGTTTTGAGCACATACATCCCAGTACATAAATATGCATTTATTTATAAATTACATACTGGTGTTACTGAAGTTTTCATGCTTCCTTCCCACAACCTAGTAAATTGTCTTGTGCACCTCACTTCACAGACCACTGGCTTATGGGTACAAGAGATTTATTTTTTCTAAGTGCTTTTCACATCTGCTCTAAAGCATTGCACTGATGGCCATGAACAAATCAAACAGCGAACTCTTATCTCCTTCATAAATTCAGGCTTAGCTAATGTCACGTGGTTGGTCAACATCTCCCACTTTGAAAGGGAAGAAAAAATTTATTTTTCTCAGAAATTGAGGATAGCATACAGAAGGAGCAACCTGGAGATGATTGTAAGTTTACTGGCCTTCCAGAGATGTTACAGGCCCAAAGAGAAGCTTTAGGGATGGGAAATGCTTGAGACAGAAAGCCAGCCACTCTGAAGCAGTTAATCTTCTCCCTGGGATGTGAGAGCTCTCTCAGAGTAAGAGCTTCCATCAGTCAATCAAATTAATCTTATATGTTCCTGAAACATTCCTTCATTGTGCTGATGAAAGGGACTAGTCTTGACATCTCTGAAGAATAAGGAGCCCTGTTATATCCATCAAAGAAATACAGTAGGAAAGTAACAGAACAAACTTGTCCTTCACTTCCTCTTCCAAATATTATTTGAAAGAAAGACAGAGAAGTCATTCAACACTATAACTTGTGTTTAACATTGCCCATCAATGCATGGGGTTTTGTGGGAAAACTCAAAAACTGGGCTGACATCTCCATAGGCAACTCTGAGTCAAGCTACAGACTGGTGTTTGGACAGGAAAAAGTCAATTATAATTTATAACTTGAGAGTACAGTATGAAGCAAATGGATGACACTACCGCAGAATGCCAAGCTGGAGGCAACATGCAGAGACCCTACAATCCAAAAGGTCTGCAGCACTGGTCTGTAGCACTGCCCACTCCACCACAGTGTTATACCCATGTTCAGGTAGTATTAACAGTGTGACCAGCCTACCTTGCCCAGAAAGATCCACTGTCTTTTTGTGTCCAGTTTTACCATCAAAGAGTTCCATTGTGTATTTGCCTTTGTCTTGTGGAGTTGGCTCATTGATCTGCAGCCAGATCTGTTCCCCAGTGACACCAGTCTTCACTCTGTCTGTAAACCTAATCTGGGTATCGCTGAAAAACACAAAATAGTGTTACCCCTTCATTTTAGTGGAATATAAACGGGATTTTCAGTGAGAAATCTCAGCAGTTACTAAATGACTTCCAAGGTAGAATGGCATGCCATCATATTTTGAAGTTTTTGAAGCCAAATGTCAACTGTAGACCAAAGGGGCAGAATTGTTATGACAGACTTTTTCTGCTCAACTTCCATTTCTCTTCAAAGTCTGTAGAATGAAGATGCATCTGACTGGTGTATCCTCAAATGTTCATGTTCTCTTCTTAGCATAGGTTTATTTCTGCTTGGGCACAGCAGAACTATATAAGGCTGTACCTACAAAAAAATCCCACTTTTGTTACAAATGATGTTTGCTTAGTTTCAGTGTTTCCTCACGTTCTGCTGCGATTTGGCTTTCACAATCGAATGCATTTTTACATGAGTAGATTTTCTTCCACAAAAAAGATCAATTTTTCAGCTTCTTAACTTGACAGTTAATTGCCTTGGATGAAGGATATGATATTTCTCAAGCAAGCTGTTCATTTTCTTTTTAATTGATGGCTTTGAATATGCTAGAGAGTCAAAGATCAATTTCATGTGTTTCAAGATTAAATTAATTTATAAAAATGAAATAGAGAAAAGACAGCGACAAGAAAGAACGATAGAAAAAAAAGAGAAAATGAAGAGAGAAAAAAAATCCAGAACAATTCATATTTGGTTCCAGTTTTCAAACATTAGAGGTACCTGGAGATACCATGTCAAATGGGTGCCAAGAAAGGGGGAAACCTCAAACTGTTACCATGTCCACACAAAGTGAAGCAGAAAGAATACTAATAATAGATTTAACGTAAACTGAGTTGTTTATTTCTCTGAGTTTTCCAATACAACTCTTTACACTGACTGAGAATTCAAAGCTGTCTCATGGATTTGGGTACACAGCTTCCTTTAATTTTATGGGGAGCTGGGCGTTCAAGTTTATTTCTAGAGTCTCAGTTCTCCTGTCTGTCCGATTTAGGCTTGTAGAACTCACAGGAAGCCCTGTCTGGATTTTACTGCCCTGGGCACATGTTAAAACTTGCTTTGCCTCCAAAACATGAACCCATGCATGAAGAGGATGTGCCCTTTTGCCCTGGTCCCTGTGAATTATGGCTTTTAGATAAGCAGGCCTCCAGGCCTGGTATCTTTGAACCAGAGGCAGTGATCTCTAACAGAGCTTGCCAGTGCCATAGATTGTACACATGTCACTCCTCAGAACCGCTCCAGAGGAAGAAGCAGCTCCCATTCAAGAGGTGGAAGTTCTCTGAAGCAATGCAGCCCTGACTCATGAGGGATAATGGGAAGACAAGTAGGCCTAGTCTGTCTCATACATCTAGGTTCTTTCTGAGTCTACAAACACCAAATTGCACAAACTTTTGCAAAGCTTAGTCATACTTACTTGTGCACCCAGCCTACTCTCAGATCTTCCACATAGTAGGTGACAAAGGAGTACAGCCTGATGCCCTCGGCTGTGCTCTGGATTTTCAGATCTGTTGCAGATAAAGCTGCAAGAAGAACACATCTTTATTTGCAGCCATTCACTGAGTGTCACTAGTCATATATCAGAGAAGTGACTTAAATGCTTACCAATCCTTCTGCATACTTCATTCATCAGATCTGCAAAAGCTGCGGAGACAAGATCCATAAATTAAGACACTGTGTCTGCAGCTCAATCATAGTACAAGCACTGCCTCTGAAATAATTTCCCCAGGCAGTTCCAAAAGTAAATCAGATCTACACTTTAAAATGTATTAGAAAGCTGTGTTTGCCTGTGATTCCACAGTTTCCAGACTTTATTTTACCTTGATGAATACTGCTGCAGCAGAACTAAACTATATGCTCTTTTTTTTTTCCATGTGAATACTCATATTCAGTTGGAATGACAAGCCATCTATATGCATTATAACAGATTTCACTTTTCCCCAGTTGCTTGGAAAATTAAGTGGTCACAATGAGTGGAAGGGTCTCAAAATATATGAATGCAAAAACATAAAAAAGTGAAATCTTATAAAAATATCTAGTTCTATAATTTCTTCTTATGATTGTTGGCTTACACTACTGATGAGCCCTGAGGAAACAAGATCTAGCTTAGCACCAGTCTTCACATTCTCCCAACATTATACATGCAATAAGGCATACTCAAATACTATTCATACTGAAAAATCTGCACTGTTCTAGTGAGATGCAGGAGGAAGGAAACTACAGGAAGGTGCTTCATGCAGCTGTCTGTATTGCCTCAACCTCACCTGCAGGCTGCTTGGCTTACAGCATGCAGAAAGGGTACTGACCTGTGTCCGTAAGTTTCAGCTCACTGATGTCCTTCCCTCTGTCATCCTTCAGTATGACTTCATAAATTCCAGTGTCTTTCTTTGAAAACTGTAAAAAAAGTATTCAAAATAGTTTCTGTACAAAAATCTAGATCTACATCCTAGTTCATCCTCACCCTGTCCCCATCCCCAAGGAGGTGCCTGATGTCTGGGACTGCCCTGGTGCCCTCAGTGCCCTACTCCTGGCTGGGGCTGTGGGATGGAGCCTGGCAGCTGGGCCGTGCCTTGCTGGGCTCATGGAGGGACTCAATCTGCACAGGTCTCTGATGCTAATTCCCTTTCTCAGCTAGAAGAACCAGAACCAAAGAGACTGAGTGATTAATGCAAGTCAGACTCCATGCCTTGAGATTGTAAATCTCAAGCAAGTCCATTGGGTAACTTCAAGAGGGTGCTCCCATGAGGGTCAGAGCGAGCAGCGCTTCCCGAGTGCAAGTCACAGCATAAACAGAGTCTCATTCTGTTGTGAACTGATACGCAAAGGAAGTGTCACACTTACTATCTCTTCTGTTCATCACTTCCTGAAAACATGAATGAACATTTAAAGATAGAAATTTGTTTTAGACAAAATGCAGACGCCTTGTGAGTTTTTCCATTTTTAAAACCCACTTCCTTTTTTGATTGTTCTGTTCAAATACCAGATCATATCTTTCACCTGATTCACAACATTCAGATGAGGACTAGCACAAACAGTCACTCACCTCTGATATCAGCAGGGTGCACACACCATCTTTAAAGTCATGCTCTTCATCTACCATTATCTCCCTGGTATCTTTGTACCATACAATATGTGTTTCCTTCTTAATATTGGCCACCTAAAATGGACGAAAACCGTATCATAGTTATTTTCTGCATTTGGTCAGATGAACCTCGCATTGCATGGATTAACCTGTTTGAACGCTGGGTCAGCATGAAAGAACAGCTAAAGCTTTCCAACCTGATTGTAGTGAGTTACAAGGAGGCTGCTGGAGGCCTCACAGTTAAAATGAAGGCTGCAAGGAGGAAACAGAAGGGAAGAAAAGAGAGAAAAAAGGGTTATCAACAGCTTCAAGGAGTCCAGTGATCCTGTGAATCTAGCCCAGGGGATTTCGACACAGGTAAACAGGCAATAATCAGAAAGTCTTTGAATTCACAAAGACTCATCAACACCTATTAAGGTCTCTTTTGCTCAGCTCAGGGCGGATGGTTGGATGGATGGATGGATGACAGACTTGAAGAAGCTATATTCCAAGGTGTTTTGTCTGAAATAAGCAGCCAGAGCACAACGTTCTGGTTTTTCTCTGCTTGCAGTACCTGGGGAAACATGAAGGGCCTGGATGACAGACCTAGCTCACTGCCTTGAACCGATGGGAGAGCCGTCAGAGAATGACAGCATTACGGTGCTGAGGCAGGCACTCTGCATTCCCCCAGAACAAATGTTACCATCATCCTACCCTGCTCCTGTTCCAGTCTCTCTCTTAAATGACTTAGGAAGCTGTGCAGGTGCATCTAACTAATCTCCAGTAACAAAGTGGTGACACTCAAAGGGTATGAAACAAGAATATTTCCCTTGCTGAAGGTTCTTTTGCATAAGCCTTTTCCTCCTATTTCCATGCACAGAAACTAACGCACCGCTGTTTGTTCAGATACCATGTTTCTGCAAAGAAACCAAAGTTTACTGATTATACTGCAGGAGTACAAACTGTTTGGCTTTCACCACTGTCTTCGTCAGTTTCTGAGCTGCTTTGATCTGAACAAGGAGGCAAGTTTTGCCCAAGTCTCAGATCATTTGCAGTCACCCCAGCATGATTAGCCCATGGTGCTTTCAATGGCTCTGTCTGTACGCAATATGCAGTTGGCAATCCAAAACCAAAGGCCATCTATTTAGTCCTCTTAGCCATCTAAACAGATGTTGATCAAAGTGTTTCTTGGAATCCTGTACCTAGTGTTTTCTTTACCTCTTACCTTACATTTCAGCATCACGTTACATTCATCAGTAACTTCCCATCCCAGCTGATCCACAAAATGGGGACCTGTTTGAAGTCACAGACACATTTTTTTTAAAACCATGAGTGCTATTCATGATACAAAAACAAAGACAAATCTCTTTTTCTTCATAAGAACACTGTGATATTTTAAAGTGTTTTTGTTTTTCCCATTTCTCCTTCTGAAGGTAAGCAACTACACAAGAGAATAGACTAGATGTCTTTTAAGGGTCCCTTCCAATTCAAATGATTCTATGACTCTATTAAAAATGTCTATTTCAATTTAGAGTATATTAATATAAACAAACTCTAAAACTAACACTTACATGATTATCATGAGTATTCTTATCATACCTTGTTTCCTGTGCCACTCTTTTCTCTGGAATTCTGCTTCATCTCGCAGCTTCTTGAATACTGGAAATGAAAACCATTAACGCATATGAGGTTATGTGGACTATATGATTTATTAGTGCAGTATTGTTACCAGTGCAACTCTGTCCTTTGGAGGTCAAAGAGAATCCTGTCACTGGGTCATTCTTTCTCTCAGCAATGTAATACCGCACATTTTCTACACAGTCTAATATAGGGAACTTGTTTTAGTAGGGGGGTTGGGCTTGATATCATTGCATCTGTAGAAAAGCAAGCCCTGACAGCCTTCGATATTTTACATTTCTGGAACAACTCCCTTTCCTCTGGGCACTTTTAAAGTATCAGTTCTCATACGCTCTCTTTTCTATTTGAGGCAGACAAGTGCTGTGACATGAACTTTTAATAGTACTAAATCAGGAAAAGAGTGGAAAAGTGATGACTGCCAACCTTGGTATAACTTTCCTAGCCTACAGCATAGCACAGATTCACATACCATCACCAATGAGGACCAGGCTGGACTGATTGGTTGCTTTTCCATCCTGCAGCTGGAAAGTGTAAGTCCCTTCATCTTTGTCCTCAAGTTTATCCATAATCATTTCAACAAGGCCAGTATGCTGGTCCACCTTCATCTTATATTTCTTCAGGAATTGAAAGTAAATTAATTAATGAATATCAGAATCACCGTATATTTGGCAAACATTGATATCTTTGGGGGAAATTCTGCTTTCTTTGCTCTCATTCCCACTATCTCTTTCCCTGGCTCTAAACATAGAACCAAATAAATAAGAAATCTGTTAATGATGGAAGCATGTGACAGTCCTGCTCTATGATGAGTATTGTGACCTTTTTCATTGGAAAGGCACGGATTTGTATCTCTTTAGAACACTATTGCTTAGGAGTCAACATTTTAAAAAAATTTTGCATAGAATGCTCTGACAGAATCACAGAATCACAGAATGGCCAGGGTTGGAAGGGACCTCAAAGATCATGAATCTACAATCCTTCTGCCACATGCAGGGCCACCAACCTCCCCATTTAATACTAGACCAGGCTGCCCAGGGCCCCATCCAACCTGGCTTTGCACACCTCCAGGGACAGGGCACCCACAACTTCTCCGGGCAGCCTGTTCCAGCACCTCTCTCTGTAAAGAACTTTTCCCTGACATCCAACCTAAATCTTCCCTCCCTCAACTTAAAACCATTTCCCCTTGTCCTGTTATTATCTACCCCTCTTGTTTATAGGCTCCCTTTAGGTACTGAAAGGCTGCAATGAGGTCACCCCGCAGCCTTCTTTTTTCCAGGTTGAACAAGTCCAGCTCCCTCAGCTGTCTTCAGAGGGGAGGTTCTCCAGTCCCCTATCCTTGTAGAGTGCTCTATCTAACTATCAGTATTGCAACAAAAACATGCCACGAGTTGTCCTTGGGAATAACAAGCTCTGCTGCTGAAAACAACCACTTGCAAGTTTTCCCTCGGTTTAACACATTCCTCCAAACAGGAAAAGGGTATGAGAAGAGAGAACAAGTGGCCATAGATAAAAGACACTGGATGATCTGGGCTACTGCAGTGATTACTTGAAAACCACAGTAATTGCTTACCTGTAATTACTTGCTTCCCTACATTTCAGGACCTTCTACAGTACTCATTAGTTAACAGACCATGTGGTACTCCCAAAGGAGGCAGGAAGGATGTTTATAAACTCATTCAGTCAAATTTAGCTGGAGCTCAGAACTATAGACAAAGTCTTTCTAGCAAGTGGTGTTTTCAATGACATACATTAATTCTGATGAAAATGCACTAGCATTGAATTCTGATTGGAAGCTATTGAAGATATTAGTGCTCATTTGTTACAAACACACAAAAAGGCAATGTAAAGCCTTACCTCTCCATTAAAAATTTCCTTATCATTAAATACAAAGTTGGCCTTTGCATTGCCAGACAATTTTTCAGCTTGCAACCAGAATCTCACTTCTCCTTTTTCCAGAATTTCTACTGCCAGCTCAGAAGCAAGTGGAATAGCTACAAAGAAGAGAGACAAGAATGAAACATATACTTTTCTGCATAGGAACAACTATTTTCTTCACTTCTTCCATTCAGTTAATGTACTCAAGGTAACTAGCTTACAATAACTCTTTGTACCAATGGAATGCCTCTCCACCCACATTTACACAGAGCAACAGGCAAGATTGAATTATTTGATCTTTCTATCTCTAGGTCTAGGTACAGAGTTGAAATGTTTGCAATTTGAATTGTGCTGGGGTCCCTCCATTCCAACATGGGGCTAAAGGTAAACTGCAAGCATCTCTGCAGCACAATGTGAACCTTCCTGGTGCAAACACATCTTTAATGAGTCACTTAATGTTGTTGCAAGGCAGTGAAGTGACTCATTAAGGAAACGATAAAACAAAATAAAACAAGCACAAAGGCAGATCAGAAAGTCAGCTGCTGAACTGCAGGTTGGGAGACTTTTGTAAGTAATTCTTGCTGAGTGGGACCTTTATCTCCAGAATTCACTGAATGTCACAAAATGCCCCAAATTTCCCCATTAATAATAAACATCTGTTTATTTATGAATAATGGAAATCCCCACATTCAATAAGCTGTGTAAGCAGGAAAAAAAATTCTTGTAAAGATTACTCTACTACAAACTAGTCTTATTTTTTTCTCGTTCCTGTTTGTAAAACTACTTTCACTTTAACTTTTTGTCAAGTTATTTTAATCAGCAGCGTTAAACAGGGGCATTTATACTCTAATATCTGGGGATATTTGCTCATTTTATTATTTTCCATCATTTTAGTTGTCTTAGTGGACTCTCGAATTTCCAACAAACTCATGTACACAGAGCATGCATGCTGTATGTGACCTCTGCCCCAAACTCCACTTTCATAGCAGTGTAAAGTCTACCTTGCAAGGGTGTAACTGAGAAGAGTGCACAAACAAATTGCAAAACACCTGATTAAGTGTGTGGTGATGGGTGTCACCCAATACCTCCTCCCATACAAACCCCAGGGCAGGGTTTTCCCTAAACTTTACTTACCTAGAAGCCTCACTACAGGGAGAGGACTGGGACTGGTGTAATACCTGGCGTCATTTATCGTTCATTTTTCACCATGCTAATTCAGGTTGGACACTAAGAAAAATTTCTTTTCAGAAAGAGCAGCGAGGCAGTGGTACTGAGGCTGTCCAGGGAGGTGGTGGAGTCACCATCTCTGGAGGTGTTCAAGATGTGTGGATGTGGCACTGAGGGATGTGGTTAGTGGGCATGGTGGAGACGGGGTGATGGTTGGACTAGGTGATCTTAGAGGTCTTTTCAACCTTAATGATCCTACATTTCTGAACAGTGGGATACTTTCTGGGGCTGAACACCGCTGCCAAACCAGGTGGTGCCCATGTGAGGACTCCCTGCATCTTCTTTTCACAGGAGCACCCTTTCCATGAACCTGCACCCTCCCACGCTCATGCTTTTGGTGGCACAGAACACGTCTTTGGTGAATATAAAGCTTCTGGGTGGTGAAGACACAGGGAAAAAAAAGAAAAAAAGAGAGTGATGAAAAAACACAGAAGAGAAAAACGTTTAAAAATGAGTCTTAGAGAGACAGGAGTACTAAAAGGAATCAGCTGTGAAGCTTCCTTCCCTACTAGCTTGTGAGAAACAAAAGGCATGTCATATCTTGCATAATTTTTCAGAACAAACCACCAGAAATGCTACAGAGCCTGCAGAAGTAACAGGAGGAGGGTGAGAACAGACATCAGGCTGCTCTGCTTTTGTTTCACTGTCAGCTCTGTGGGAACGTCAAAGTCCCAGTATGCAATTAACAATGAATATCTTAGTCTAAAAAGGAAGAAAATACCTCAGAAACTGCTCAAGAAGAGGCTGAAAGGACATAAAAGGATCATTTCTGGGAAAAGGCCACTCACTCCCCCATCTAAAGTAATCAGACAGGTCTGTGTAACAGTCCTGCACCAGCAATAACCCTATTTCAAAATATTTCCATTTTACAAAACACCAACTGTCTTCAGGGATTTTGAAAAGCCATCATGCTTTCAAGGTTTCACATCCTATTTGTATAACATCGCAAATTACCACGTGCAGTTGACAGAAAATCTTCAGGCAGATGCTAGTGCTAAACTGAAGAGCTGGAATATTTGTTTGCACCCACAGAATCACAGAATCACCCGGGTTGGAAGGGACCTCAAGGATCATGTAGTTCCAACCCCCCTGCCTAGCAGGGCCACCAAACACACACATTCAGATCAGGTTGCCCAGGACCCCGTCCAACCTGGCCTTGAACACGTCCAAGGACGGGGCATCCACAACCTCCCTGGGCAACCCGTTCCAGGGCCTAACCACTCTGCTTGTAAAGAAGAACCCAACACCAATACAATACGGTGTTCAAGAGCAGTTGAGTTCTGCAGGACCACATTATCTGAGCAACTCATTTTCCCACGGTTACTTGCTGCAGATGTTTCCGAGTAGAAGTTAGAGTTAAGTGCAGTTGAGACATACAAACCAAACAACGTGCAAGAGCTTATGTTGAATCAGAAATGGCAGCGACTCATTTTTTTGTCAGGAATTTGGGTATTCATCAGATCAGTGTTTATAAATATCTAAAAGAATGTGAGAGGCAAATGGATGAGGCCAAGCTCTTTTCAGCAGTGTGTACGATAGGACAAGGAGCATTGGCCCAAAATGTGAACATAGGAAGTTCCATAGTAACATGCAGAAGAGCTCCTTATGGTAAGGGTAACAGAATACTGGAACAGGTTTCCCAGAGAAGCTGCAAAGTCTCCTTCTATGGAGATATTCAAGACTCATCTGGATGCTACCTGTGTGACCTATTGGAGAGAACCTGCTTTAGCAGAGGGTTGGACTCAATGATCTCTTGAGGTCCTTTCTAACCCCTGCAGTTCTGTGATTACTCAGAGAGATGACAAAAGTTTCATGTTGATCCATAGCTCATTATTATTTTCCCAGTCTCACAGATAAATGAAGATGTGTTTCGACCTATAATTGTAATTGATAATTTTGTAGTGTTCACAGGGCCTAGCATGCCCAAAGCTAGAAGAGTTTCCCCTCTTCTGATTTCACCTGCTTCCCCTGGAGGCTCCATGCACAGCTGGGAGTGTACTAACACCTAACAACAAATGAAAAAAACCCAAACCCACATTCTGTGTCCCAAGCAACTTATTTTTGTTACATTAGTCATTAATACAGAATGTGGCAAAGAGCTGAGAAGAGAAGGGTTGGGGCAAGTAAGGACAGGTGACAGCAGTAAGGGGCTGTGATGACTCACGCTCAGAGTGAAGATAGGGTTGGGAGAAGTTAACAGGGGGTGCTTGGGCTGTCAAAATATTGAGAAGAGCAGAGCTGACATGGAAAGGACTTGGAGGGAAATGACATGTACAGAAAGACAGGCAATTTGTGTGGCCAAGCTGTGGTGGGGCTGAGAGGAATGATGCAGGCTGGGCTGGCAGAGGTACCATTGTTTTCTTATTTTTCTTATTATTGTTTTCTTCAATTATTCAAGTAACATTCCACTGAGAATAACAAGGTTGTGCCACTGTCAGGATATCATGAAAGTGTAAGAAATCTGTGAATTTGGCAAAAGTATCATCCCAAGCAGCAGGAAAGGTGTTTACATCTCCAAGTGGAACAGAAAAGAGTGTGACAAATTTCAGCAGAAAAATTCTGTATAGAGAACTACATTGCTTGCTCTGTTAACCGTAATTTTAAATTGTTTTAAATTTCAGTTGAGATGAAATTAGAGGGGCAGAAAATTTTTCAAATTAGAGTGTTCAGATCAGGCTAGGCATTCCAAGTAAAGACAAAAAGCTGCTATGAAGAAGAAATAAAACCATTAGGATACTTATTTTCAATCCGACATAGAGCATATACTTAGTATATACTTAGATCAGTAACCCGCAAAAGAGCGGGAAGAGTATCAGCAATGCTGTGAGTGAAAGAGTGAAAAATAAAGGAATCGTAGGTTTTCAATTCAAAAGCACTCATCTGAAAGCAGTCTAGCAACTTCCCTATCTGATGCTGGCAGGAGCTTTGTGATACATACCCCAGTGCACACAAAACTCTCCCTTACAAACACGTTTGCTTCACTTACTTGGGAATTTGTGTTCATGGCTCAGAGCAAGCAGGCGTTTCATTTCTGCAAAAGATATGAAGTAATACATGGATATTATGGATACAACAAGGACAAAAGCAGGAAGAAACAGAAGGCAAAGCAAAACAAGCATGTTTAGAAGACACTGTGTGTCTACCTTCTTCGTCAATTGTGTAGCCTGATGAAACTCCATCAGTGTCCGTAACAACACAGGAATAAATTCCCAAATCATCTTCCCCAAGATTCTTAAAGACTGCTTTTGACCTTTGGGAAACAAACAACAACAACAAAAAGATAAAAAAGTAGAACTAGTCTGAACCAAGACCCTTTTTCACTGTTGCAAAACCAGATTAAAAGCACCCTTGTATTAGCTTCTGCTCTGACTGCAAGGCAAATACAGGTGTCCTGAACAGAATAAACCAGGATAGGTTATTCATGTGTGATACAAATGGAAATAGCCCAGCCCATGAAGCACCCATGAGACTGAAAGCTGACCAGTTGCCTGTTCTGAGATCTGGGTGCAAGATTTGTAACTTCTTGAGGAAGCTGTAGAAGCTCTCAGTGCCAGAAGTACTGGACTTAAAAGCATATTGTCAAGTCTTTGATGAACAAGGAAGGATACTCTAAGTGCAGGCTGATTCAGCTTTCATATGCAATACCAAAAGTGGTGTTTCTGCATGGTTTCTATAACCAGAAGAGCACACAGATACTTCATAGGCTGCATTTGCCCTTTCTTCCTCTCTGAAAAATGCCTAAAGAAACATTTTAGGCTTGTAAAGAATTACAATCATTACCAAATCAGGCTATGGTGACATTATCAAAACAGTGTGCTCAGATGATTGTAATGATGTTACACAGTCAAGGCATTTAGGAAGCAGACAAATAATTTAAGCCTTTGGAGATTTAACGTAACAGCAATTGGAATAATCTGTGCTGGCTGACAGGTTGTAAGAGGACAGAGCACAGATTTTCTCACTCTGTGCCTAAATGTAACTACAAGTACATTGCCTAACCAGAAGGCCTGACTCATTCTGTGCAAGCTACAATTTCCTTATGGTCTGCACATAGACTTGCTGACAAACAGCATGCTCATGCCGAAGCCTTTTGGTAACAACAGCAGATAGAATTCTTACTGAGCTCATCCATCCAGAAAGGATGGATTTCTGTGGTCTGCTGAGGTTTTTCAAACACGAGACGATTGTTACCACTGAGTGCTCTTACTTTCCGCCTTTGGAATCGATGTCCAGTCGAGAGTCATCCTCAATTGGCTCATAGTTCTTGGACCAAACAAACTTAGAGTTTGGAGACATCTGATCACATTCAAAGTTCAAGGAAATGACTCCATCGTCATCCACATTAACCACCACTTCCTTAGTTCCTGAAAGATCAGAACAAGGCAATTCCATTTTCTTAGAGATGACAGCAGACAAGTCTGATTCATAGGGTGGATTGAGAGGATCTTTTTTATTTTGGCAGGTGGCACATAAAGTGTTGCAAATATTGACAATATCAATCCTTGGCTCCTGACTAGATTTCTCATCCTAACACAAATAAATTAAGGAACAGATTAAAAAGCATCGTAGATCAAGTTATTTACTTGAGCAAGTCTAAGCACCCATGAGACTATGATATTTTCTCTAGAAAAAAACCTGAAGGGGAAAAAATGCAAGCCTCCAATTCCATTAAATGCTTAAATTATTAAATAGCAATATTTTTTACGCTAAGGGATAGTAAGTGTTTTCATTATGCAGCAAGAGTTTCTCACTCCCTAATCAAACAAAAGCTCCAGAGGGAATACTGGGTACAAAAGTGGATGTTTGAAAAGGTGCAGGAGGCAAAAGAAGAAACAACCAAGCTGCTCAAGCTGCACAAATTTGTGCAACGGAGGCACATCTTTGGTGACTCTGGCTTCACTCTGGGTGGTTGGCTTAATTGCTGAGCTTGGCATCTGGCCCTGCAGCCATCTGCAGCATTAATGCGGGCACACAAAGGGTGTGAATATTTGCAATTAGCCTCTTAGTCGCCCACCCTGTTTTGCCAGTACCTGCAGTCTGTGGGCTGGATAAGGTGACCCAGTTAGTCCCTAAAAGGCCCTGAGTAAGTTCCAGATCGGGAAATGAAACACACCTCCTGCATGCTCCCTCCATCATGAAGCACAGCAAATTTTATCTGGGAATCCTGTACCTGTGGCAATAGCTTTCATTTCAGCAGCTTGTCTGGTAATGCCACTGAAAGCACTGAGAAGTGTTGGAGAACATCCAGCTTCCTCTGAACAGCTCAGAGCTGCAGTTTACATCTGAATGGGGTACTCACGGTATATTACTGAGTTTAAGACAACGCTGGGCTGCCCAGAATGCTAATGGCGTGCCTTCTCACAATGCACTGTGTCTTAATGACAAGAGACCTATTCCCGACATTGTAATTAAGGGCTTTGTTTTCAGCATAATTCTTAATGAATCTCAAGTATGCAAGGAGATTTCTGTGTTTCATCATTCCAGTACTATACACGTCCTCTCCAGCACTGCGATTAGCTCCTGTAATGACAAGTGCTATACGTGCAACCTTCTTATTCTTTATAATTTGCTACGACTGTTTAATGAAAGATTAGATTAATATCCCTGGTTTGGCCCTATTATTTACCAGCCCTCACGGGAATGAAGCACAATAAGAACCAGGAGATGATTAATGGGTACTAAGGTCTACAAATAATTTGTGAGGCAGCTGCACATTTTTCAAAATTTTAATGATGTTATTTATTATATGCAAATTCATTGCTTGACATTTCACTAATGTTTAGTTGACATTTCACTAATGTTTAGTTTCCTCTCGATCATTAGCACGTGAATCTTTGGGTGGCAGCTGATGTGATGTGTGAAGAAACACAGCCAGAAGGAACATTTGAAGAGCAGCATCTCTTACATTTGTTTTAGAGTATCCACATTAGAATCATAGAATGGCCTGGGTTGAAAAGGACCACAATGATCATCCAGTTTCAACACCCATGCCATGGGCAAGGCTGCCAACCAGCAGACCAGGCTGCCCAGAGCCACATCCAGCCTGGCCTTGAATGCCTCCAGGGATGGGGCATCCACAACCTCCTCGGGCAACCTGTTCCAGTGCACGACCAGCCTCTGTGTGAAAAACTTCCTCCTAATACCTAACCTAAACCTCTCGTCTCAGTTTAAAACCATTCCCCTTGTCCTAGTACTATCCAGCCTTGTAAACAGTCATTGCCCTTCCTGTTTATATGCTCCCTTCAAATAGTGGAAGGCCGCAATGAGGTGATGATAACAGTGCATAGCATGTATCCCCAGAAGCGATGATGGTTTTTACTTCTAATAGTTATGTAGAAGTCAGAAAAATATGTATTTTTAAACTACTGTGGCAGAGGACTTGCCTACCCCACAGTGTGAAACCAAAGAAGCTGCTATAATAGTAGTAGCCTGATTTCCCCTTTCTAGGTAACGTGGTGGTTTGTACAAATCATCCAGAGTCACTCTTAAAGTCCTGATAAAAAATAAAATACTTCGATACCATATCAAATACTGATTAAGTGCACTGATCTGAGGGCTTCTTTACACTGAAAGGAAAGAGGTAATGTTAAGATAAAGCAGACAGCACCAAAACACTGGAGTTATGGGCACCATCTTTTCTACAGCTAGTCAGAAAAGTTGACTGGGGTTAATTTCATTAATTTCTGAGATTATGTCATAAAACTTCCCAAACATGCTCCTCAAAACCTCTCTCATCAAGGTTAAACTTACCTATTGGTTAGCTGAAGGGATTTTGGTGGATGACTGACTTTGTGCTTAAAGTAAATTTGTGGTTGCCATGGGGTTAAGTTTTTAGTTCTGCTATGGCTTTGGTCACAGCTGCACCGAGGGCAGAATCAGAAAAATCAAGTAATTGCAATTTTATACTATCTTAGTATGCTTCTGATTGTGTTGTGAGAGGTCAGGTACTTCCTGAGTGCAGGGACTTCCAACAGGTTGCCCTGACTGAAACAGTCCTCACATGCACCATCTTGCAGCCAAGGATTCACACAAACGTGTAGAAGGCCTCCTGTAAAAAGGCTTTACAAAAGCCCACAGCAAAACACTTCATGTAAGGTTAAAGGTTGGATCCCATAGTCTGACCCCCAGGGCAGATCAAATTCCTGTGCCAAGCCCTCCTGAAGCAGTTGATGCATGGTTTGAATCTAACTTCCATTTATGCCAGCGTGCGAAAGGACTAAGAGCAGACCTAAGAATGATCAGGAGAGATATGCAGTTGCTCCTAGACTCCTCTTGCCTCCTGTGAGATCTGCAAAATCACCAAAGTGATTTTGTCCAAAGATAAAGTTTCAGCTCAAGACTAGCCAGCATTGCTGAATTTTTATTTTTTTTTTTTCTCTCCTTTATGTGTGTGGGTTTTTTATTTAGTTTTAAGAGATAACTGTAAAAATGAAATACAGTTTTTAAACAAGGGAAGGATGGAAACTATCATACCATTCTATTAATACATGTAACTGGATCAAGAAAATTGATATCACGCATTTTAAAACAAGTATTTCCATTCAGGATGTTATTTACTTACATTCTTTGGTTAGAGAGCTCAGTCTCCTGGCAATTCTACATGTTTGCCAACATTCCAGTGACATTCCAGCAGGAATTGTGCAGAGAGATCTTACAATATTTTGTCTCCATCCACGATGTTAATAAAGACGGTATTCATTGGGCAACACCAGAAGATTTGTGGTAATTTTTGATTGTTCTTGAGATTTGTGTGGTTTGAGTGAGAAAGCTGAAAGCCTATTCAGGAGACTGCTTTCTGAAATACGTTTTTTAATAAGCCTTTTGTTATTTCTTAGCACTATTAAGAAGCTTAGTTTGGTGAACAGTTTATCTGCATACCTTAGCTCAAAATACGGGTCAATCAGATTTGTTTAAGTAAATCATTTTCAACTTCCCTGACTTTCTTGAGATCCATCAGACATCACTATGGTGAACAACAGCCTGGCTTGCAGAAGAGTCATAGTCCTGAGATTCATCACCTTCTCTAACTGTGAGGATTGCAAAACAAATATTCTACTCACGTTCATGATGCTAGATTGAATTTGGGCCACATTGGACTACGAAAACTGCTGAAAAATCTTTTTTTTTGTTGTTATGACGATCATCTTCAGAACAGTTTACATCCATATATTATTTTTCATTGCATGATCAATCATTTATTTCATGCATTTAAATGTTATTACCATAACAAGTTTTTATAAAAAAATCTGATGGATGGATGTTAACCCTAAAGGAAAATAGATTAGTAAAGGCAAAAGTTCAGTACTAATAGTGGTTTGATGTTCAATTTAGAAGTGGTTGTTATTGTAGTATCTAAGCTGTTTTCAAGAATCGGTTTCTAAGTCTTGCCTTGCTCTACTTGCAGGTGATGAGAACAACCCTAATGCTTCTTCAATGGTTTGTTGGTCTGAACTTAGGGCTACTTTATTTTTGAAAGAAAAGAAAGAAGATGCAGTAGCTGTGAGAGATGAAGCTGAGGTATGGACGGCCAGATGAGCAGTGGGATGAGCAATCCTGCTTGCCCTGTTATTATGATTACAGCTGTCAACAAGGTAAGATTTACCTATAGTGCCCCTTTTCATCTCATCCTGTAGGAAGTTCCCAGGCTTCTGATTTTGCACCCAGACTTCTCATGGCATCTCTTTCCCATGTCTCCAGTCTTTGGTGCTCCTGGCTCCACACTCCTACTATGACCATTTTCAGGCCACATCTCCATTACCACCATATCTTCCTTTTACTCTAGAACAAACCTATTCTCAACTAAATTATTTTAGTCCCTTCACAGCTCATGTATTTCTCTCCTATTCCAACCCTTTCTTGCCTACATACTTATCCTCTTATCTCCATATCACAGTCTTGCCTTTTCTTAACCATCCAGTCCATCCCACCCCCCTTTCCCATTCCACTAATAGTCACTACAGCCTTCTCATTCAAATATTTCTAGTTCTTTTCTTCCTCTGTCTTCAGATATCCTTTTGATCACGTTTACAGCCTCACTGGGAGACTGTTCAAGACTTCTTAGGATTACATTTTTTTAAATCTTTATTTTAAATATTAAGGGTAAAGAGTAATTTCTTTTACCCTTTCCTCAGGTACACTGCGTAAATTAAACAGAAGAGAGAGATAAACAAATGATTTACTACAGGAAGGGCAAAGCCTACAACTGTAGAATTTGTGGTTGGGCTGATCTTAACAAATCCTCCACTCATGCTCTGTTCTATTGCAATACACAAATAACTTTATATTCCTGAACAGGTTGTTACAATAAGAAAACCTGTCCCAACTTAAAACATATCTGACCAGGCAGAAGGATATATTCTTCAACTTGTTTCCTGCATACTAAGAATGTTTGCCTTTGAGGGGGGTCAGGTTGTTCACATGCAGCCTGCGTGCAAATACATCACACAGACAGGCACCTCATTAAATAGGACAAAAAAGAGGAAGCATTTCTAGCAAACCTGGCCGTGTCTCAGCTACAACGGGATCAGTGATATCCGATGGTCTCCCAACACCAGCCTGGTTTGTTGCCCGCACACGGAACACATAGCTCACCCCTTCTGTTAGGCCAGCTATCTGCAGGAAGCAAACATATGCATGACTTATTACAAAACACCAATTTTAATTTCACACTTTTTACAGTACCAGTCTGGATGCTTGACAATCATATTTCCTTTATTTTTTATTTTGCTCTTTCTCCAGTCAGTTGGCAAATATTCCTTCCTCTTTTTTATTTTTCTTTTCTTTTTTTCAGTCCCAGAGAAGCATGACTGATATGTTTGATTTATGCTTTCCTTGTATGCATAGCTAACATTTAGACAGTGCCACAGCTGCTGTTGATTTATTTATAAAATTTATTTATAAAAGGAGCATTGTTATTTGAACAGGATGTTTTTAACTCGTGTCCACTGACCTCTAGAACAGCACAATCTTATACTGTAGATAAATTATCAGTAAAATGTCCCAGTCCCACTTTTATAGAACCTGAAGGGCAGTTAACTGTATGGATCTTGTTCTACTCTCTTGAGCAATTGCAGTAACATTGTAACACCTGTAAATGCTCCTATAAAACATGTGTGAAAAGATCAAACCCTAAAGTGAATGTCTTCCAAATGCTCTGGAAAGAATAGAAGTAGCAAATCCACTTCAGATGTATCTCTGAAATTGAAATACACTTTAGAATAGAATTTAGAATTTAGAAGTCATTCCACAAAATCATGTGACATAATAGTGGGAAATGGTTGTGTTTTACATGCCATTAAATGTGTGGAGAGAGTAATTTGTATTTGAAAGAACCACGTACCACATTATTTGCAACATCCATTTTTGTGTAATGTTTTTGTGTAGCAATGCTCGTTGAGCTAGGAAATACCAGGGATGCCTACTGTGTTGTAAGAATAATATGCAGTTTCAGCACAATTTCTATTTATTTATTTATTTATTTACATATCAGATTATCTTCTAAGTTACTGCCTTGTCTGACTACACAGATTTCATACATGGGTGTCCCAGGCACAACATAGCTTGCTAAGTGTTTCAATAAATGCTACGCAGGACTATATTATCTGTGACTGACTTCTTTAAGTTTATTCTGTTATATTTGTATTGAATCTCAAACTACTTTACCTTCAAGAATTTCTTTTGAAGTGGCTTCTCATTGACGCTTCTCCAACGTTCCTCCTTTGCTTCAGTTTCCTTCATATCAATGTAGTAACCAGCTATAGGACTACGACCAGTATAAACTGGTTCCTTCCACAGTAATACCAAAGAGTCCTTCCTAACTTCTGTGTATGTGACATCGTGAGGTGGCCCTGAAAGGCAAGAGTGAAAATTGGAATTGTGTTGTCAGAATAAAGACCAAAGGGATTAACGCATAAGACTTCAAAACACAAAATCAAACAACACATCGCTCTCCCAAAGCTGACACAGCAGGTGCAGTTCCATTGTATCAGATCTAAATGAGATATGAATACAATTCATACCTAATAAAAGAGTGGCCCTAAAAAACAATCCAAGTTTTTGAGATTTGGTATCTTGATCAAATATTTACGAACAAACAAAAATTACAAATAATCTCCCAAGCCAGGGAAATAAGTTAACTATTAAGCTAATGTGCTGCTTTAAGGACAGTTTTAAAGTCCACTGGAGCCAATGGAGATTGTTTTCAATAATTTCAGTGAGTGTTAAAAGGTCAAAGATCTGGCCTTGAAGTAATATATGATACATGACAGAAGGGCTACAAGGACTCCCTGCCTTCTCTGTTAGACAGGTTTTTATATTAATCACTTAAACTAAGGAGCACAGTGGCAGACACAGTACAGAAACAAAGCAGTAAAAATAAAGAAAATACAAGCTGTTTGTAAAATGCTACTGGTTATGTGGGCATTGCTTAATTCATCAATGTAAGTACATTAAAAGAATGTGATGAAGGCACAGGCCTCGGTATATACTTCAGTACCCACTGACTGCCCTAGAAACAAGACATTGAGAACTTAGACTATTTGTTCCAGAGCACCCTGTGGGTGGCAGTAACCTTCGTGTTACACTCAGGATCCTACCAGGTACAGCAATGGTCCATTCTTCACATTTGAAGGGCTTGCTGGGCAGGGAGGGTGTCCCAACCCCAGCCAGGTTAGCAGCAGCTACCTGGAACTGGTACACCATGTTTTCCTTCAGGTTTTCAATCTGCAGATCCAACAAAATAATACTTATTAACTTTGGATTAAGGCCTTAGGAGAAAGTCACTATCATCTAATACATGAACGTGCTTTGAAGTGCCTGAAGAGATGAAAGCTTTATTGATATCACACATATCCTGGCTTTCCCTCTAAGCCGTGACATAGCATATGTGAGTATTCTCAGTATGCTCAGATTTTAAAACTATTCCTATTGAAAGACTTTGGTAGTCGGGGAGGGAGCAGGATATTGCTCAACAGTTATACTGATCTGTTTCATGATAGGCAGCAAGTTCACTTAAGTCAAGAGTTGTCCTTGTAGCAGGGTGAAATTCAGTCCTGGCATTCCTTTTCAATTGCAAAGCAGCTCAGATAGATTGTAGCTAGCACTACAACACTTCTAAACTGGCCTTTAGAAACTAATCACAAAACCCAGCTTGCACAAGCTGGTTCCAGTACCAGCAAGCACTCGAATAGGTCCACCAAGACCAGTAGGAATGCCAGTTTTGAGGGCCTGACTTACAAAAATCCAGCCTATGCTCAGAAGAATTAATTCACAGATTATGGTTGGTGCCAGAATAACAGACAAGTTTACAAACAATTGTAGAGAGAAGAATTTAATGGAGTTAACTAAATAGTACTGTCCCCAGGCTTCTCTATTCTTTAGTGAGCTATTTGTTAAATGAGGATTTATGTAATAAGGTGAACAGAAGAGCATCAGTGTGGTAAATGTTGCACTAAATGTATACATAAAACCTCTATGAACAGACTATTTCCATCACTTTGAAACAAACACTAACAAGGAAGCTAGTAGAATGACAAAGTATTTCATGGTACCACAGAATTCCTGCAGTACAGGAAGCTGCAGTTTCAATAACATATTAACCATATGACACGAAAGCACTGTTTTAATACCATCTGTTACAGTTCTCTGATGTCACAGCTACCACTAAAATAATGTCTATCACTTCTGTGCCACCTTTCAAGCAAGATAAACCTTAGAGGAAGGACAAACATGTTTACTATGATCCTTAGTATAATTTTGGTATGTTTCCATGAGAAGTTAGCAGAAATATGTACCTTGGATATAATGCTCTGAAAAAAAAAATCAATCCGTGCACTAAATCACATTACCATCCTAATCTGACTTTGAGAACTCTTTTGGAAATATAGTTTGCACCCTCAGCAATAGCGGAAGTGGATCTCTTACCCTGTATGCCCTCTCGCTAACGGCTTTAATGTTGGCCTCCCTCCATTTCCCAGGAGCTCCACCAATCACTTCACGGTAGTTCACGTAGTAGCCAGTAATTTCAGTTCCCCCAGTGGCTTTGGGTTGTTTCCATCCTAACACCATGGAGTCCCGAACACTCTCAAGGACCATGATGTCATATGGTGGAGATGGAGCAGCTGTTTCAACATGAATAACATGTAAGTAGGAAGTAATATCTCAATAGCCACACAGACATCTGGTTACCATATTCAGGTGGCCCCCAACCTGCATTTCCAAGTTAGGAAAATACTTGTGCGGCCAAGGGGAGTTCTGCTGGAATGAGAAATGAAGGATAAAAGCTTCCATAAAGCAAACATGAAAATCCAAATGGCATAAGAATTAATTTTCAAGATCATTGGGTTTTGAGAAGCAAGCTGATACACAGTGAAAGAATGTGTTGCAATTGCAGCTCTGATGTAAGTGATCATGAACTTGTCTAAAACCGTGATAAATGAGGAACTAAAATTATCATTACAAGAAAAGTAAAATGTTAGATGCAATGATTTGTTTTCTTTTGCTGAACGCAAATCCTTTTTCACACACATAATAATTGTTGTAATTCCTTTTTTCCTATTAAGGCCCACATTCTTCCCTTCACAGAATGCCAGTTATCTGTTTATTACTATTATTGTTATTAAATTTACACACCATGTAGATTTTATCATTGCACCCTTCATCTTACCTTAAGGAAGTAAGCATGATCATAGGCACTGTAGGCTGACTGAAAATGGAACATGTCTGTTACTGGAACTTACTTTACAAAATTTGCTGCATTATCCACTTTTTTTTTTTTTTTTTTTTATAATTACAATAAAAGAGAAATAATTAACTTCTCCCAACCCGTTTTCTTACAATGCCCTCTCCATACGTATTGGGGAAACATTTGCCCACACTTAGATATCACGCACTGGTTAAAAGCCCTATCTGTCACCTTCCAAATTTGATGGAAATCTCACATCACATACTTTTGTCTTTGGTATTCTATCACAGCGTTAGCTGCCCCCAGGTGCAGCCCTGTATCTTGTTTGCTGTTCAGAGTTTTGAACAAGCTTTTTTCAATCTCACTTCATGAATCTCCCATGGCATGGGAAGTAAACTAAATTCATTCACTGGCCAAGTACCAAGACTTAAATGAAATTCAAGCTCCATATTTCTTAGGCGCAATGGGTGTTTAGGTGTTGACAACATAAAATGTGATTTTGTCCACGTGTCTTCAACTTGATAGGTTTCCCTCATTACAGATAACCATTACAGATAACCATTATATCAGAGATATAATGCAATGTTCATTAGCACCGCATCTCAGAGGATAAGCCATAGCTTAGGCACAAATCCACAAAGGATCTTCACACATCTTTGCACAACGCAGATCTTCATACTTACCGTTGTAATCAGATTTTGTTTCCTCCACACATACGTAACCCAGAAACTACGTAACAAGACTCCTGACAGAGAACAAATTACTGATGTGGTGTAGACATACTGTACGGGATATATTAGTATATACTCCAGACAAGCTACTACGTTAGTGAAGGAGTAGACGTTTCACTTTCAATAGCCAATAGATTTGTGTAATGGTCTCTGATAACAAACATTAGATACACAACTTCCATTTCACTTGAGCACATAGTTACTATGACTGCTGGAAGATGCACCACTGGAGAGAACATTCCCTTGTGGTGTAGCTGAGTGCAGGTTGCAGCCATCCAAGGTGGATGTACCAAAGCAGTGAAAGCTATTTATTTATTAATTCTCACCTATATCTTTCTTCTTTTTCATTTTTTCCATTGTCAAAGGATCCCCGGGTCGAGACTTACTTGCCTGCTTAGCAACGATTTTTCGTGGTGCAGATGTGATAACATCCTTAACCATTTCTTTCAAGTTATCGTCTCCTGTACTCCCCAGTTTGTCAGAGCTACTGGGTAGCGGGTCTCTATTAAATTTAGCATTGCATTTTAGCAAAGCATCTGTGTCAAAGATAGGCTGGGAGGACTCATGCATGCCTTCCCAGCTGGTAGTGCAGTCTGTTAGTCCATCAGCTTTACCACTCAGTTCAGGACACACACCATGAAGCAATCCTCCCCCTATAATTGCCAGAAAATAGTAAAGACATTTTGAATTAGAATACATTATTTTTTCATCATTTACTCAACAGAGCATAAAATGCAGACAGTGAACAGTACAAAGAAACCACGACAAATCACTGTTCTTATGGACAAAAAGCTACACTTGGACTCACAAAAATTTGAAATGCATAGAATACCTCTCAACATCCTCACGAGTTATTTTCTTTTAATGACATCTAATTTTCAGAGCAGAATAAATATGGAAAGTTAGTGTTAATCTTCATTTTCTATAATTATTTTACTATTAGATCTTCCAAGTCATATTTTTATTCTTTTAAAAAGATCTTACAAAATTACTAAGGAGCACATTTCTCTGCTCTAGGGTTGATTATTGTGATTCTGATGTAGATAACAGTGAGCATGTTGAGACAGTTTGTTCTAGCCCAATGATCTCATTAATCTGTATGGATTAGTTCACGCAGTGGCAAACAGAAATAACTCATCAACAAAGGAAGAACACACAGGGTTATAGAAAGTTTGCAAGAAGCACACTAGAAGTACATTTATTATTAGGTTTAGGTGTGAAAACACATTTCTAAGGAGCTGACTATATGTAGGATGGTGTGTGTTAGAGGCAATAAATACCACATTAGAGGATCAGAATGACATTCCTTCTTCCTGGATGATTATGAAGTGTAATTGGCAGTGCCCTCCTACAGCAGTTCACAAGAAACACGTGAAGAAATCTGAATGGTGGACAGTCTACAAGGCTGCAGTGACTGTTAAAGTGTGGCTGTGATGCAAAATGTAAGAGCTACAGGTAAAGTATCATGTGGACAGCACTGTAAACCAGGATAATTAGTTATCAATAGATGTTGAAAACATCTTTACTTAAATATACATATATAGAGAGAGAGATTTACCATTGAACAAAGCAATAGGAAACAACTTACCAATGGCTGCTTGCACTTCTATAGGCTCTGAATCCTGGGAAAATTCACTGAGTCCAGCTGCATTAACAGCCCTGACTCTGAAAATGTACTTCTCACCGTTGACAAGCCCATGGCAAATGAATCTAAAACAAACCAGCAAATGAATTATTAGAGTATTATGAAGAAAATAAAAACCTTAAGGGGTGTAGAAGAAGCGTTTCTTCCGTAAAATTTATTCTGGTTTCTGAAAATTGAGGTTAAAATATGAACCCAGTAATTATATGAAGGTCAGAGAAAGCAGAATGAAGTATCTAAGAACCTACTTCCTGCAAATAGAATGCCTGAACTCACATATTTTATACAGACCCTTTTTTACCAATGCTCTTTCCCACCTATGACTATACAAGTTCTTGTGTTACAGAAGGGTCTATATTACTTTCGCTGATATATAAGATTCATCCTTCCTAATGGAAACAGTGGAAAAATCTGCAGAGATGAGGCCTGCATTTGCCTGTGGGATTCATTCATTACATAAGCAGAAGACAACTGTAGCACAAGTCCCCATCGTTCACATCCAATCAGAAATGAAAAACTGCAGTGTACACAGAAATCACAGGACATTTAGCAAGACTCCCCAAAAATGTCCAAACTTTTATGGTACTTCCATTATTTTAAGTCAGACAAGCTATTTTATTGGTATAGTTTTTCAGCTGTATTATATAATGTTTACATTTTAAAAAATCATGTTTTTTTCAAGTTGTTCCCCCTTAAAAAAAACACACAATTCCTCAAGACATAAAATGTTCCTTTTGGAAAATAAACAAAGTGTTTTGTAAAATATTTTAACATATTATTTAATATGTACTTTAAGTGTATTTTATTTTATGTTCTTTTCATTATATGCTTCACAATGTTATATTCTGTGCTTCAAAGACTGACATCATGCAATAATATAAGCAGAAAAATAGTATCGAAAATATAAAACATATTCCCAAAATTTTACTCCAGGGAAAAAAAATAAAACCTGAAATTTTCAGGACAGAACTTACATCACTCATTCCTCCAGACTTTTCCAAAGCATTACCCTTCACCTGGACATTCACAGAAAGCGAATTTCAAAACATCAAAATGTACTGCATCCAGTAAACTATGAGCTACAGCTAATGCTTTGAAGTTGTCTCAGTCACAATAACATTAGATAACACACAGCCTGGGCCTGTCTGTATCATGCATCACATTGCATAGAATAAAAATGCAGTGATAAGAGCAAAAGCAGTGTATTTATGTAGCAGTATAAAGTAATTCAAATCAATATCCTTATTTTTAAGCTGAATAAAGATCACATTTTATATTCTGAAACAAGAAAACAGCATGAAGTTTCATCAACACTTGATGTAGCCATAATAAAAATAACAGTGATCCAGAACATTCTATGATTCTATAATTTTACAATATGAGAGCTTAGAATATTGGCACAAGTGGCTTATGAGCATCCATTAACATCTTGATAATTGCAAGTGACAGAGCAGTTAGAAAGTAATATTGTTGGCATGAAATAGCCTACATTTCCTCCTGACATGCTAGACACACAGGCCCAGAAATGTTTACAGCAGTCTTCCAACTGAAGGATTTTGCTTTCAAACATGATGTAGTTCAGCTTTCCACATTTGTATGTTCACTCATTCCTCACTGTACCATTTCTCATCAAACTGATGGATACAACAGCTAGTGAGTTGTTTCTCTTCACTGCCAGTATCCATATTTCCACCACACCTCTTGACTAATTGTTTTCAGTACAAGGTTGATTATAAACTACTTTTGGAAAAGAACCACATTGAAATATGTTTTTATAACATCTTACAAGAGTGTAAGAGTGATTTCAGCCTCTGCTGGCTACCAAAGAACAATTACTAGTACTAGTACTATGAACATCTGAAAACACATAAAAGCAATCAACCAAAAAAACACCAAAAAAAAAACCCAAATCCAATCCAAACCAAACCAAAACAAAAAAAAACAACCAAAAACCATAACAACCATCTGGTGACCACAATCTCCATGTTTTAAAATCCATTACCTTGTGCCTTTGACTGGATTGTTGTTGCATGGTTCCCAATGACCAGATCCAACCACACTTGACTCGATGTAATATCCAACCAACTCCTTGGCATCTGGGGGTTCTGTCCAAGTGACAACAACGGAGGTATCTGTGTTTCTAGTTGGCATAATACGGCCAGGAGGTTTGGGAATATCTGGGGAAGATAAGCAGAAATAAATTAATGACCATCCAGAAAAAAAAAAAATCACCAAAAAAAAGTGACATTCCAATCTAGATTGTTTTAGCACTGATAATACACAATGCAGTGCACAGAAGAAGTTAGAAAGCAATACCCATATCAAATAGCAAAACACACCTTCAGTATTTTTTGAAGAGAACTGTTTTACTCTTCTTAATGAATGGAGTTTATATAAATCAAACTGAGGTGAAATGAGACAACCTGGGAATTTGGTTCAAATCTGCATTGGAGTTCTGGAAGAAAATGCCAATGTAGATAAAGCTACTATGCAACTAATAGACAAGTAACTAATTCTTTGCTGTGGGGAACATCAGGGACTTTTTTCCAGTAGAAATAGTTTCTGCATCCATATAAATATTAAATCTTTCACGTTTGTTTGATTTGGCAAACGAGGAAGGTTAAACTCTGCTCATGTCTGGGCTTATGTTCAATATGGTCTCCAAAACAGAACAGTTTTGTACTTTATTGAGCTGTCATTTTCTTCCATTGTTTGCAGTCTTTGTGGTTCTTGATATCATTATTTGAGCTTAACTCCTTCGGTTTGTATCTGCCATTTGACCCTACATTAAATGTTTGACAACCCAATCCAAAATTATCTTAGCTGAAGGGAATACATCACTGACCACTCTTCATTTTCCAGTTAGAAGCTGAGCAGCTATCGTCAGGCAAAACAACCATATAGCAAACTGAAAAGATATCATGAAGAGAACTTAGTACTCATGATCACTCACCAAGTTTGTCATCCACCACAGTGGCTTCAGTTGCTTCTGAAGGCTCACCGATTCCAGCTGAATTGCAACAGCGAACCCGGAAGCAATAGGATTTGCCTTCAGACAAATCAAAAACTGCAAAGCGAGGGGACTTCACAGGGATCTCGGTGTTCACCCTTTGCCAGTCCTCTGTGCCAGCAATGCACTGCAGTCAAACCCAGAAACAACATTTTGAACAAAACTCTCTCAACACGGAGTCTAACCTGACAAGGCCTCCTACCTGGACTATGAAAGGTATGTCTGCTATGGAGAAGAGGGAGTCATGTCCCTGGTTTTAGCCATTCCACCGTATAAGTGTATTTCAAAGCTTATTAATCTGCCAGATGTCCAGTCACTCCATAAATCACACATGCAAGCTTACTGTTTTCAATATACCAAAGCTAAACACCTCTCCGCAGCAAGGAAGTGCCATTTTTTAACTGCATTCAGCTCTGCATCTTACTCCCCAGACCATTTTCAACAGAAGTTCTGCAGACATTCAACACCATCCACGTGAACATATTGCTTCTAAATGCTGTTGTGTCACTCCTGAGGATGCTTTTGAGGTGGCTTCCAGGATTAATGAAGATGTGCATTCAATTTGTGAATTGCTTTTGTTTCTGTGGCTGGAAGTTCTACTTACCGTGGTCACTTATACTGCTAATATTAGTAATTAATTATTGTCTTGCATTAAGAATAATTTCAAAGAATATCCAGGTTTCTGTGAGATTTCAAATACTCAGAGAAACTTTACTTAAATATGTGACATTAACGTTCAGTATTCTGCATGCAGTAAGTTGTCAAAAAATCAAAATAGACTATATTACATGGGAACTCAAAATTAAAGTATTCACCCTCTGTAAGTCTGTTGCTAAGTGAAATTCCTTTCTTTAGACCAGATTACATTAGAGAGATGAAAAACATGAAATGGGAAGATATTTATGCCTCTCATGATGACAGCTCTAGAGCGATAAGAAAAAGCATTGATAACAAGTTTGTGGGAGTCATGAGGTACTAGTAAAATGGTGAAGATGGTGAAGATATTTCTGGGCTGGTAACCATGCAAAGAAGAGCTCAGAAAAGGACACTGAAATGAAGTGATTCGGTTCTAGAAAATAAATTTTGTCAACTTAGTTGAGGTGGTTAAGTACAATTGAAAGTCAATATAGAGGATAAATACAGAAAAGCAGCTGGAGAAGCACACCACCCACTGCCTTATTGTGATCACATCCACTGGTTGGTCTCCAGAAACATTTAGCAAGTGTTGATGAATGACAGTGGGAGGAATGACACACCTTTGCTTCATACACACTTCCATGTCAGTTACCAATTTGTCAGACTGCCCCTCTGCTGCCATCTGTCATGTGGCAATAAAATGCAATGGAATATTGGTAGGAAGGTTCAACCTCTGCCATATCACCAACATCCACTACTGATGTCACTGGCCAACATCATAAAATAGGAGGCATTATTTTTGTTGCAGCCCTCAGACAAATCATATACATACAACTGTGACTTTGCACTGTGCTTACTCACTATAGTGAGTTTGTCAGCCTATCCACCCTATGGCAGGTCAATGACACAGTTCAGGAAAGTATATTACAGTTTGAGACACATTCTTCAACCATTCTTATAAATTTCTGTCTTAGTAGTTTATCTTAATCTAATAATTACATTAATGAAGTTTTAATCCTAGCTTGAAAGTGGAAATGAAATTTCAGCAAAGATAATGTTAAAGCAGATTGCTGTATTGTGATTCAGATTTTCTCTGATTTTACCTTTTCCACAAAATACATGATACCCTCATGGCCCCGCTGTCCAGGAGGTTTCCAGCTCAACACAACATAGTTCTTGGTAGCTTCAATAACTTGGAGGTCTGTAGGTGGACCAGGAATGACACCCTCTGAAATACAGTGGAGAAGAGTAGAAAACGGAAACGAGTGTGAATTTCTTCACATTTGCATCAGAAACACTATGATTAAAGTATAGAACAAGCATTAATACACTTTAGCACTCAATGTTTTTGGAAAACTTAGGGTTTAAAGTTATCTAAATACCAGTATTAAATGTCCTTAGTTTAATGCTAAGCATGTTTGTTTCTTACATCCTGAATAATGAAACCTCACCTAAAGCTGGAGCTGTTCAAGGCTGAGTGACTCTAAGAACAATTCTAAGAACTTTGAGCGTGTGCCAAAGTCCACTGAACTCAATGGAAGTTTCTCAGCCAGGCTTTTGTAGGCAAAAGGGCTGTGTTTACCTGCAGGTTCCTCCTCAGTGACAATAATCTGTCCTGTCCAAGGAGCGGAAGGGTGACCTGAAACAGATGCAAGAGAGATCATGTAAATGAACCTTAAGGAACTTCTGAAATGATGACAAAACCAACAAAACAGTCATTTGCAAGCTTCATATGAGCTCCATTCCTGGTGACTACTCACGTAAGGATACTCAAAGCTAGTTTTAAGGCTTGCATATTGAAAGCAGTTCTGCAATCAATATATCAAGAAATATTTAGTTCACTGAGACATACACTCCTTCCTGAAATTTCTCTGAAGTCACTTAAGTGACAAGTAGAGGTATTTGGCTCACTCAGTTCATCTGTTTTAGAGAATTCACTTCCACTTTATTTTTCCTGCTATGTTCATTTAGTTTAACAGCCCACTCATTAAAGGAAGAGCCAAACTCCTGCAGGCTGCTCTTTCTCTCCTTTTAATCCACTTTCCTTCACATTATCAGCTTTCAAAGCAAGGGCCATTGTCATATGAATGTCACAGGAAGTGCTTGGCCTGACTTAACATACCCACGCGATTTGGTTTGGGTAGCTTTCTCTGTGCCTTAGCATTATCATGTTATCACAGCTATGTATCAAGCTATTTAACCACAACAACATATTTGCAGAGATAATCTTCACAGCTACTGTTCTCCACTTCAAAGTTTCACCTTTCATTGGCTGATTTGCTTTGGAAGTGTGAGCAAAGATTGAGCAGAGGTTTGTGACAGTGAAAATGAGGGGATACAATGGGAATAGGCCACCGAGATCAGACTCCCTCTTTGGAGACAGCTTCCAGTCCTTCCAGTGAAAAGAAAAAGTCACTGTAACTGGGGTTTCACATTTCTGACACCGTATTTCCTTGTGGTGATAAATCTGCTTCCTCCAGCCTTCTGGTTTTTTTTTTTTAAATGGAAACCTCGATCATCTGATAGCTGTCTGTACCTTACAGTGCTGAAACAGTAAGACATGCAAGTTGGGACTGTTGGTGACCTGTAGCTTTGCATACAATACCCCTTTCACATGAGTATAAATAAATGAATTTTAGGCATATTATTTTGGCATATGGGTAGAGAAAGGGATTTTGAAGCAAACTCCTTATCAAAGCCTTTGCATCTGGGATATCACCCAGCCACAGGAAAAATATCCTTGGCCTGTAAAATGTTAACTGCCATAGAGGCAGTTGGAGAGGTTGGGTTCAATAATCTGTTGGGTTGCCCTGATATTTTGCTGATGTTACTGCAAGACTTCAGTCATCACATGTGCTGTGGCACAGAGAGAGGCTATTCGCAGGGTCTGCTTGGCTATTTTGTTGGTTGAACAAAAACAAGCCTCAGGCAATTTACTCTCCTGTGCCCTTTCCCCTCTCCCTGCAAGTTCAGAACGCAGTGCTGCTGCCAGCAAAAGCTGTTAGAGCTGTTGGAACTCTCTGCGCAAAGAGCACTGAGATGATTCCTTCTTGGCAAACGTGCCTCCAAAGATTTTGTTTTTGAATTGCTCCCTCTAGTGGGATTCCAAAGGCTTATGAGTAAATAGAATGTATAATCAATAGATATCAAGATGTTATAATCGCAATATATTTGTATAATCAATAGATATGAAGATGTTATAATCACAATATAATCAAGAGAATTAGGCAAAGTAGACAACGATCACAAGAAGAGAATAAGTGGAAGAGCTTACCCTTCAGCTGAGCTCACCAGAAAACACCAAGAGAGGTGATCTCCAGAAGAGATCCTTCCCCTCTGGTAGCCAGCTCTTAAATAGGTCTAGGAGGGGTGCAGCCAGGCTCCACCCCTTCCGGCAGCACAGGTGAATTGCCTTCACCTGTGCTCCTCTGGCTGACTCATGGCTCGCCTCAGGTGATCAATCAGAGGTTCAGGCTGTGACTCAGCAGTTCTCATACAATAGAATCAGACTTCTTTTTTCTTTTTTTTTTTCTTTTTTTCTTTTTCTTCGAGTTATGACTTCTTAAATCTCTCAGACAAGCTGCAAGAAGGACACCTTACTTCTCAGTCTGGCTCTGTCTGCGGGATCCAGGGCAGCCACAGGCTCTGACACACGGGATGGTAGGCTAACACCAGCTCTGTTCACCGCTCGGACTCGGAAGATGTAGGAGCGGCCCTCGATCAAACCAGTGACAGGAAAACGAGCAAACTTCACCGGAGTCTCATTGCATTGGGTCCAGTGGGTGGTGCCAACCTCACACCTGCAAAACACAAACGGGATAAGTGGTCCTGGGAAGGGAAAAACACAAGTTCAGGGCACCCACCCCTCAGAGCTCCATTCATGTTCATTGGCTGGACATTCCCAGCTTCTTCAGCAGTGCAGTCTTCCGGTGACACAGAAGCAGCTGCAGGAGAGGGGTCAGGGCTGTAGGGCCATCTGGGAATGCGCTAAATCCCTTGCAGCTGTGCTTCTTCTTTCCTGAACTGAAGAGGGGACGTGGGCACAACTCATTTCAAACTGTTCAAACCCTTCAAAGCATGCTCTGGGACTCCTGGGGTGTGTCGGCTTCAGCATATTTGAAGGGATGTGAAATACATGGATCCTCTGCAGTTGCCAGAAGAAGAGTTCATCATCTGTGATGAACCCAGCTCTCAGATGTCTGTGACAACAACTGAAGTTGGACGCTCAGTAACATAGTTATGTTATCCCACCACAGTGTGGTGGGATTCCATTTTCATACAGAATCACAGAGTCATTCAGGTTGGAAAAGACCAAGCATCAACTCACCCCCACCATGCCCACTGACCACATCCCTCAGTGCCACATCCACACAATTCTTGAACACCTCCAGAGCTGGTGACCCCACTACCTCCTGGGCAGCCTGTGCCACTGCCTGACCACTCTTTCTGAGAAGAATTTTTCCTAATATCCAACTGAACCTCCCCTCGCACAATTTGAGGCCATATTTTTAGAACTACATATTTCCAAATCTTACTGTTGAAGAGAAAAATATGTAAATGTAATTTGCATTAAGCTTATGAACTTAATTGCTCAAAAAACAACAGCATGTAAGAGAAGTCCAAGTCCCTCCGAAATCACATTTTGCTTTCTGGTACATAGTAAATGTTTGGCTGCAGGAGGGAGAGCACTGATATGGGTAGAGCCAATCCTGAGAGCCCCCAACACCACAGTGTCCTGAGGCCTCTTGAGCCTCATAGGAATAAGTAAGGGCTGAGCAGCATCTCACATAATCATTTCTACGTACTTACATGAAGCAGGCCTTTATTACTCTCATTAAAGTTATATCAGGCCCAACCAGCTTAAAAAAGCATTATTTTTGTAGCCAGCAATAAGAGTGAAAATAAAAATGACCACTTTATCTCATGCTCTCAAATGTGCTTTTAGGTTTTTGAGTTGAAATGCGCAGCAATACAGATTTTCCACATCAGCATGCTTGCTGACCTGTCAATGAAGTATCCGAGGATGGGGTTTCCTCCATCAACAGCTGGCTGCTTCCAGGACACAATGACATAATCCTTGTTGGCATCTAAGCACTGCACATCCAGCGGTGCGCCAGGGGCTCCTGGGATCTCAGCATCAGCATCTATGAGGATGGAGACACAGATTTCCTGATATGAAACAAAGTTCTTTCATAATTATTTTTTAAGGACAAAACTCTACTCCTGCAGAGTCAAGAAAAAGCTTCAAAAACTATTTGTTTTTATATTGGTGGTGTCTTTTCAGGTTCTGACTTTTACAGCATTTACAAATGCATTTATAGCATACTGTAAACATAATTGATCTAGGCATTTTTAACACATACTAGTACTGTGGATTCTAATGAGGTAGCTGCCAGAGGCACAGCCAAAGTGCATGAAAATTTGGAAGACTATTTACCTTCAATGTTACTTAGGAGATTAGGCTGACATTTTCTCTTGCAGTCATGCAATGGCTCAGTCACAAGGTTTTAGTCTCAGGATATACAGCACTGTGATCTCACTCACTGCCATACACCTCCATGGAAATACTGACCATGGAAATATTGACACAGCTCTGACCCCATCCTTCAGATCTCATCTGCCCCTACAGTAAGAGCTGGGAGGCAAAACCTCTTCTCTTCAATCCTTTGTGTCATTTTTGTTGTTGTTGTTTTTTTCCAAGGTCATCCTCTGGAACGATCAGCCTTGTTAAACTACTATTTGCTGGACACTCAGACACACAACAAAGACATCTGCTGAAGAAAAGACCAATCTGAACCCTGGTTTATTTTTCAAATGAATGAAATACCTTCACACATAGTCTTTCATTGTTTGGCTTGGGATGGACATGATCTGAAAAGGTATCAAAACCCTTTGAAGTTGAATTACACCACAGATTTTGGAATATAACTTTCCTTAGGATGAGTATATTGTTTCTTTCAAGCATTTGTCACAAGTATGAGATTGTTGGTGTCAAAGGGCCCAGATTCTAACATCAGCTTCCAGACAAATCTTACCCAAAGCTTAAAAATCAGAGCACAGTGCTGGGAATTGGTAAATAGTCTGTTCACACAGTCATAATTCAGCTTGAGTGATGTAGCAATTTTCTTGTAGGGCAAAATAACTCTTGCAAAAAGATTATATGAAAGATTTTTAAAGAAGAGAGATCTTTCCTCTATAGAACAGAGTTTCTACAGTCACAAGTAACGTTCAAGCCTCATTACTTCTAAAGACAATCTGACTTAAGACAGCTGTATATATGTAAAGAAAAATGTTTTGCTAACAAATGCTGTTCTTGCATTCCATCTAAACCCCATACTTTTACAAGTGTTTGATGCTTCAGGGTGCTACAGGATTCTGTATTACAAGTTATGCCAATTCCAGTTTTTTCTGCTTTTGGCTTTCAGAAATAAATGCTGCATATGAGTGTTTATCATGCTTGATTAAATAAAGCAGTAGTCTTCAGAGAAAAAACAAACAAACACTCCTCCCTGTATCTTCCCTTTTAGGCATAGTTGCATTACATAGAATTTTTGAAGCTGTGCCAAAGTTTTTGAGTTCAGTTTCTAACTACAGTTAACTCGGTATAGTTTTTAAAATGCATAGAGTAACCAATGCATTTAACATAGCAAAATAATAAGAACATTAAGGGTAATAACAAGATATCTTCAATAATCTCCCTACGAATTACAGAATTATAATTATCTATATCTCTTGCTTGATAGAACATGAGACATCACAGCTTCTTTCCAAGACAGACTAGGAAATAGCTGGGACAATCAGCATTGCTCATCAGTCTCACTGGTGCTAGGATTTCATCCCTGGCTGCTTGCTGATGAAGGCTGACCTGTAACCATGGTAAGAGGAACCCATTTTCTCTGAACCTGCCAAGTCCTGGTGTTACGAGCCTGATGAGCACCCTGCTCACCTCCATCAATGCAGGAGGATTTCTACATGTGATGCAAAAAGACAGCTCCTTGCACTTCAGCAGATAGCTAAGAGTTTGTACTGAACATGTCTACAAATTAGGAGGAGCAGTGAGAAGTATTCTGGCCAAATGAGGCTGTGCAGAGAATGTAAGTAGAATATAATTAATCTAATTAGAATTTGGCAAGTACACCAGTTGGCTACTGAGATACTCTTGTGAAAGGGGCAGCTGGTTCACAGTCAGGTCATATTTTCATTGCTGTAAGTGCTAGAAGATGTAGCAGGAATGAAGGTAATCATTTATTTATATGGTAGCCCAGTTTTAAAACCAGGCAAGGAAAACAATCCCTAATTCTTCTCCTTGTTGCTCAGTCTCACACACACATTCCAGCAAACTCTTTCCTCGGGCGACAAAAACATTTGATTCAGTTATATTTTCCAAGCAGGCTGTTATCTCACACAGCTTTGCTAAACTTGGGAACACGTTACCACTCTGAACACATTCTCAGAGCCAAAGATTTCCAGAGTCTTTTGAATTAGCATTACATGCTTCAGCTGCTTTTAGCAGCTGGGACAGATATAGAGTCAGCACGTAACCTGATAAGCCACTGCTCTTCTTAAAGAAATACTTGCTTTAATAGAAATACAAGGAAGTTTTTCATGGTACAAGCAAACAACACCCAGAGGAATGACATTTTAATCCTGTACCTAAATTAAGGAGTCACATTTTCTGCTTTTCCTTACAGAATCACAGAAGGGTGAGGTTGGTAGAGCCTTCTGTGTACATCAGGTCCCATCCCTGTTCCAGAAGAAATACTCAGAGCAGTGGTCCAGGATTGTGTCTAGTTGGGCTTTGAATATCTTCAAGAATATCTTCTCTACAGCCTCTCCAGGCAACTTGTACCAGTATTCAACAGCCATCATAGTAAAAAAGTGTTTTCTTAAATTTGAAATGTTGAAATGGACTTTTCCATTTTGTTCATTGTCTCTTGTCCTGTCTGGGTACCACAGAAGTGTCTCACTCTATACTCATTACTCCTCCTATTAGGCATCTGTACACATTGAAGAGATAACCTTTGATCCCTCTCAATCCCAGAAAGAACAGACACAGCTCTCTCAGCCTCTCCTCACATGTAAGACATTCCTTTCACTTTGCAACCCTTCACTGGACCTTCTCCAGTATGTCCATGTCTCTCTTGTACTGGGAGTCCAGAACTAGACCTGGCACTCCAAACATGTCTTACCAGTGATGAGCAGAAGGGAAGGATCAACTCCCTCCACCTGTTGGTGACCTTGTTCCTAATGCAGCTCAAAATATCACTGGCATTTGCCACAAGGACACATTGCTGGTTCATGTTCACCCTACTATGATCCCAAGACCCTTTTCTACAAAGCTGCTTTCCAAAGAGTCAGTCCCCAGTCTGTAATGGTGCATGTGGTTATTTTTCTCCAGGTGGTGATCTCTGTATTTCCCTTCTACTATATTTCGTTGGTTTTTTTTTTTTTTTTTTGAGCATTATGCATTAGTGAAAACCTCCCAGCTGAGGCAGAAAAATCTTGATCTGCAGTTCAGCAAGTGTGAGATGGTTACAAAAATACGTTTTAAAGTTACTTTATAGAATTATCATTTTTTGAATTATGTTCAGTACTGTTCACAAGCTGAAGCTGGGAAAGGATGAAGTTACATCAACAACAAAAATCTGATCTCCAAAATGCCAATACGGTTTACAAGCTTTCTAAAATGTGACACCAAAGCTTGAGGAATACTCAGTTTTTGCAAAGATAACACTTGGAAGCTGTAATGCTAAAATCAATTGTATAAAATATTTATATAAATTGATATAATTCATTTTATGTAAGCTATTGTATTATGTAAAAGAATATATATGCAAATTGGAAATAAACACCTGAAATGACTGAGATTTACTTTGCCAAAAGGTTTTCCTCATTTCTCCTGTGATGTGGTTCATAAGCAGTGTCTTACCTCGAACAAAGACATAGCCACTATACTCTTCATAGTATTCTCCCATCACAACACGCAGAGTGTAAAGACCTTCATCTTCCTTGTTCGCATGAGTCAGTGTTAACGAAGCTCTCTCCCCAGTCCAGTGCATCTGGACCCATTTGGATGGTGTAATAAGAACACCTAGAAATCAGAGAATTTTGTAATGAGAATTAGCTGAATGCTGTGTATAGCTTGAAATAGATTGGAAATACACGAGACCATCCCTACCGTTCAATTTTCTATCTTCAAAGACAGTCATAACTGAAAGCCAACTTTGCTCTCAGAGTTTAACTTTAGAATGTAACAGCTTTTTGTTGGCTACTGCACAACAGCCTTGTGTAATTACTTGAGAAATGTAATAAATAGGAAAAGCTACAGAGACTATGTTGATGCGTCACAGAGAAGTTAGAGTTGATGAAATGTTTTCAGTATTTAAGCTTACAAAAGAAAAAAAAAGTTAAAAGTCATTTACATTGAACAAATTTATATTTCTTTTTGTCAAAAGTTCTCACCATTGCGGTACCACTCGATGTCTGGTTTGAAGCGCTTGATATCAGGACTGATGACAACCGTGCAGCCCAGACTCATCGTCTCACCTTCTCTCCCAAACGTTACCTCAAACTTGTCAATAAATTTGATTTCGAACCTGGAAGCGAAGCCATGTGGGGTAACACCAACTGTACAAGGGAAAAAAGTCTGGCTGCTTACTTATTCTTTTATTTCATGATAAGAGTAGTAAGCAGTAGTGCCTACTGATTATAAATACAAGCTCAGGTAAAGTTTAAGATATGAACAGAAATAGCATATATTCATTATCCATATTCAGAGTGTATTGCAGGGTCACATAATCCAGGCACGTACATATCACAGGGAAACAGCTTTTTCTTTATTCATAAAACTCCAGTTCAGTTTTTCAGGGAAAAGCTCCTTCAGAATTTCATTCCGGAATTTCCAAAATTTCAGATTTGGTGTTTTATCATTTTATCATAATGTGCATGCTTGTAATTTAAACTTACTTCTATTTATGACTACTGATGTATTCAGGTCAAATTATCTTCAGTGTATACTCCTTTTTCATTTTCCTCTTTAACTCTTTGCTCCATCTCTGGACAGTTATGCGTCCACTCAGCTTTCATATTTTTAGCCTAAGTAGATCTTTTTAATGAACTTTTAAAATAAAAATGAGCTCTCCACTCCCTTGGGCTTTCAGGTGGCCTGTGCTTGTTCCTGAATTTACCTTTCCTGATGTTGTATAACCTGAACAACAGAAATGTTTGAGTTGGAAGAGACCTTTAAAGGTCATTTAGTCCAACTCCCCTGCAATGAACAGGGATATCTACAGCTAGATTTGAGACAGAATATCCTATGTGCTTTATACCTATGTCCGGCATAGGTGCTTTCATCATTCTCCTGAAAACAGTTCTGCTGATAACATTTAGGGTCATTTTTTCCTTTTCTACAACTGCCCTATGCTAGTAGCTCACAGTCTTCCTGTGAACAATGCACACAAACACATTGATATCTTTCACTTCCATTACCAAATGATAAATTCCAAATAATATTCAAAACTCACGGCCTTGTGCTTTGTAATGTTATCAGTGACCTTTCTTCTGTTATTTCAGAGCTTTAGTAAATAAAGGGCTTCTTGTATACCTTTGCAGCACATCCCTCATCCTACTTGTGTTGCTGCAATAAGGGCTTAGGGCCCTTATGTCACTCAGCATACATAAATTGTTGGATTTTCTTTTCATTTCTGATTCATGTATTCATGCAATACTGTAAATCACTTCAAACTGATTTCTAGATTTCTAGCTCTTCTGAGCTAGATGCTCAGGTAAAACAAAAAAAAAAAAACAAAAAAAACAATGATTTTTTTTTTTTTTTTTTTAACTTGTTACAGCCAGTGTATTCACATTTGCTCCTGGCTATGCGCAATTGTACCACATGCAATTCACATAGCAGCAGAGAAAATCTATTAAGTCAGCTGTCTACTGACACACATGCACCCCCTAACCCTTTTTTCCTGGAGATGTTTTTACGTATTGCAAGAAGTGAACTGTCTCTCTTTTTGACAGATATTATTTCACAGCCAAGTGCAATACTAAAATGATGCTTCATGTGTGAACAAATAGCCACAGACCTAGAAGGCAATGTCATTTCCCCCAGCAAGTTAGATTAACACATCTGCAATGGAAGAGCTCATACCTAAAGATGACCTGCTCTTTTTTCAAATAATGTTACAAAATATTCTGCCTATTCATTTGTCATGATGTCACTGCCTCAAGTGAATGTGTCAAACAAGCACGTATTGCAACTTACGGCTCAGAGGCATGGAAAACGTCCCAGCATGCAAATGACTGGCATCAATTTCTCCTTTGTACCCTGAATGCACAAAGAGAAAAAGAGCAGTCACTATCACTGAGGGGTAAAGGCTCCCTGAGCCACAGAAATGGAAATACGCATTAAAAAAAAAGAAATATTTTGCAAACCTACTCTTTACCACAAGGGAAGCATAAGCCGAAACTTCTCCTTTAACATTCATAGCAGATGCCCGGTACTGAGCAATGTCATCAAAATCACATCTAAAATGATAGAAATGGTTAGGTTGGACACCCAGAACTATTTGGCAAACCCTTTGTTCTAGACCCAAAAAGCCTCCAGACATCTGGGTAAAATCTACAAATAAGTAAAAGTGTGGGAGATGTGCTCTGGACACTGGATTAGTTCTGGACATTAAGTTTTTGTCAATGTTCAAAAAACAATGAAAAAAAAATTATATTAAATACTCTTTCAGATTTGAAATTAAGATTACAGCAGCAGCAGGAAAAAAATTATCTGACAACACTCATCCATTAACTCCAAGATTTCTCTAATTTACTCTCTTCTGTGGAGATATGCCTAATGCAGAAACTCTAGAAACAGTAAATACAATATTTTCAAAAGGTACCAAATATTATCTAGATAGTCAAAACTATATCATCGCTGATTGTCAGTGATTTTTGACAGAATATTACTGCAAAAATTTCCAAATGGGAAGAGGAGTACTACTAAAGGTCTTTGTGTGTGTGTGTGTGTGTGTCTGTGTGTGTACAAGTGAGAACTCAGTCCCATTCCTCTTTTCAGTAAGGATCTTTCTATACCTGGAAAACCATTAGCTAATATTTTTACCTTGAACTAGATTTTTCTCATATTTAACTGTACTTATGCAGGACAAATGGAGAAAGTATGTTTCTAAGTCAATCACAAACAGAAAAATACAGACCAATTACTCAATTAGGTAAATTCAATACTTCAGTTCTTCTACTAAGGAGAACCAGAACTACTTCAGTATTTAACAGACAGTGTTATTCTCAGTTGTGTAAACTTGATACTTCTCATCCCCAAGAGATATGTACCATTCTGCAAGTCTCAATCTATATCAACATTTCAGTTTAAGTTATTGTTAAATGGTTAAGTTATTTGTTAAACGATCAAAACATTCCCTTACGTGCTGATCTCCAGGGAGTGCAATCCATATCGATTTTCAATGGTATATTTGCCAGGGTGAGCCTGTACATCAATGGGGACATTGTTTTTGTACCTACAGAAAAGCAAAGAAACAATACATCAAAAGTGGAAGAATATACCTATTATAAAAGGTCACATAAATGGTATTTGAAATACTGAATCAATTTCTGCATATTTCTCCTAGATAAATTATAGTTTATCCTGGGAAGACATATCTTTAGAAGCTTAACTTCTCTCTTTCTCTTTCACCTGCCCCACGTGAATTTTATTTTCTTGCTAAAGGAAAAACAGTTCTTGAACAAAATGAAAATAAGCTTATATTACTGTGAATTTCAGGTTATTACATGTTAAAGAATGGAGAATTCACACAAGAAATGTTTCAGTGTTTTCTGAATTGCGAATAATACAAATTCTGCAGCATCCGTGTTTACTAGCTACTGTGCATATTTGGTTTGAGTTGCATATTTGATTATTTGATCTAGTTTTAAAACCTGCATATTCACAGAAATGCCATTTAAGAAATTACTCATTTTATGGTTTTGGTTTTTTTTGTGTGTGTGTGTGTAATCCTCAAAGCAGACAGAATTGGACTGGTAAAAAAAAAAATTGTCTTCAAGAGAAAGTGCAAAGCAGCAAGTGCAAACTAGCAAAAACTGTAATACCAAAACCAACTCTTCTTTTACGTGCATATACTATCAGTATTTTCTGGTACAGGTATGTACCAGGAAAAATTTACAGGTCAAAATTCCTGGCAAGTAATTTGAAGGAATGAGCCAATACTGATCAATAACAAGCTGACTGCTAATTTCAGAATTTATTTAAACATTTGCATGAGACTCACAGACGGAGAATTCAGTACTAGATTCTTCATCAGCAACCACTGCTTACATGAAGTTACTAGATAAAACTTCAAATCTTGAGAGAGTAGCAGTGACATGGGGTGAACTGGCAACAGGAGTCTAATAAAACTAAAAAGTACTGAATACAATTCAGTGTTAGGTTTGGTTTGCAGTCTGTAAAGAAGGAATGTGCTCTGAGATTGTGTGACCCTTTAGTATAGATTTCCCCATATTGTGTAGATGAGGGAAGTGGAAATACAAAACATGATAAATATCTGCATCTCATACTTTGATATAGCCCAAATAAACCTTTATTTTCACAAGTCATAAAAGATAGCCAGCCAAAGAGTTTTGCTTCTTCATTTCTGATTTTAAATGCCAGTTTATTTCACAATTATCAACTAGGATGGAGAACCAGTATGTTGCCATAGCATGCCCCACTTCACCAAACAAATCAGTAACATGGAATTGTATTTTTTTCTACAAATACCATGAGATTGTTTCATCTCTAAAGCTGAGCATTGCCTTATAGCACATTCAGCATTGTGGAATAAAGAATATTTCCCTGGCAATAAATATTTAAGCAGTGTAATACACTGTGATTTATCCAAGCACCAAAGTGAGTGAAAATCACTCAAAGATTGTTATCCCGATCATTTTTCTCAGTAAAACATCTAAGAAAAGGGAATTGATGCAGGGCAGCACCCTCTGTTTTGGACTCCAAATGCACAGATCTACTTGACTTCATTACAGATCTACTTCATTATCTTGACCTACAGCACTGTTCCACTGCAAGTGAATCCACCTGCCACTACTCTTCAGCACAATGTCACACACAGGACTGGCAACATCTGAGCAGCTTTATATTCTCTGTCCTGTGTCAAATAGTTTAGAAAATAGAATAATGTTACCAATTCTTAGTATTTTTTAGTGAATGCGAAATCCTATAGAACATGACTGGACTTGATCCAAGGGCATCCTTTGGATCCTGTTGGAACTGAGGGCATTTGGTGGCACGTGGTGCTGTGCAGCTTTAAGTTTTAACTGAGTTACTCTAGCAAGGAGAAAAATTTGACTTCATCTGTGTTCATTATCAAATTACTTTTAAAAATGATTTAATTTTTGCTGATTTATGTTTGTCTATGGAAAGAATAGTGCTCATCTTAGAAGGACCACTTGTTATTTCTGGAAACGCAGATTCCAGAAGAGCCAAGTCATTAGCTAATGTTGGACTGCAACCTCCCACTGTCATTAAGCACTGATAGTTTATGCTTTCTCCTACTGGTTTCAAATGTCCTGGGTTTTCCATAAGCTTTTTCTAAGGGAGTCAGGACAGCTGCAACACACAGTAAGATTTTCTTTAGAGAAAGTCTGTGAAGCTTTCTAATTTATCACGCACAGCATGAAAAGGTCTTCATTGCTTATACAAAGAATGACTCTTTGGAAAATACAACTGACATTTAGTTAAAAATTCTGAATGCAAGCTGACAGAACCAGGTCAGTACTGTTCTGTAACTCTGAGCAAAGACACCTGCTGAAAGGGTTGAACTCATTTTTCCCATTAGTAGCCCAAGGCAAACTAAAGTCCCTTTAGAATTCAAGTGTATTATAAAAAAACGCATTAATTTCTACCATCCATATTTAGCATTTAGATGAAAAGGTGGTTCACAGCAAGAGCAAAGGCAAACAACTGAAAGCTTGGTTTGTAAGCATGCTAGTTTTCAGGACAAGGTGGATCTCAAGCAAAATGCAAATGGCCCTGCTCTTGACTTCGTGGTTAACTTCAGGTTACAGAGCTGGATTACAGCCACAAATGTAGCTGACCATTCTTCATATCAACAGCGACCAGAATTGAAGCATTTGTCCTCCTTTAAGAGGAACATAAAAATAGTGCATTTACAGCTCTTAAGCAACTGTAAATATGTGTCTGTAAAGAGCCTACCTATTGGTTGCCTAGTCTAAAGAAAAACTTTTTGAGCATCAGCTCTGGCCTATTAATGTACCTTTTAGTGGTTCTTTTTGTTAAGTCCTGAAATTAAAATTTTTAAGACCTAAATAAACACAGATTCCCTTAAGCAACTCAAGTAATTCATTACAAAATATGATTATTACTTGACACCATGATATAACAGCTGTACTCCATTGTCTCCACAAACAGAATCTTCACAGGACACATTCCTAATTAACGCTTAACACTGAGCATGGGCATATTTGTTGTTCATTTTATGTACACATCCATATGTTTATACACACATTCTAGAAGAATCTTTTAAATAAAAGAGTGAGTACCAAATCTCATTTTACATTTGAAGTTATTATCTATTGTCTTAGCAACTTGATTGCGTTGCATAAAAGTTATTAGAAAAATTAGCATAATAAACAGCAAGACTGTAAAGCTTCACAAGTCACTGTTAATTAAGTTAAACTAAATTTCATTCAGGATAAACTTTAACTCAAGAGTCAAATTGCACCTTCAGCTATGACAAATAATGGATATGAATGGATACGAAATATGGAGTTCTTACAATAATGATTTAATCCAAAGATCTAGTAAATGGAAAGCTTCCAGGAGACTCCAAAATTTCAGAAGATTTGGCTAATCCTACATCTATCCGTAGCATTTGACTTCAGATAAACAGGATGTGACCTCTATGAACAGTTGGTGTAGTGAGATTTCATTTTCACGGAGGCTGAGTACTACATCTGCTCAATAGCCAAGCAGTAAAGCAGCTAGATCTTGTTAATGCTTTGTTTAATGGCATTGGTGGACTAAAGACAAGTATGTGGAAAACATTCTCTTATGGATAGTACTGATGATAAATTGCATTGCTATTTTTCCTTAACCAGAAGACAGAAAGTGTATGTTAGATGTTTATATGAAAAATATGCATGTATCGTTGCTACCAAATACTTTCAGTATTTTGCTTTGTTTTTGTACCAGGATTCGAAAGGCTTAGGGTGGCCTCTAAACCTGTATTTTCAGTCATAATGTAATTTTACTGCAAAATATGCTACATTTACTGGCGTGACTTTGAGTGACTGAGATACAAACTTACCACGTAACACGGGGTACTGGCCAGCCAGCCACTGTGCAATGAAATTTGACATTTTGCTTTTCCCAGATAGTGTGAGAACGAGGTTCAATAACAAACTCAGGAGGATGTAAAAGTTTATCTTGATTCAACTTTTTGTGAAACGCCTGAGTATCTTCTAGCTGGAAAAGAAACATCTCATTATAAACTTCATTATTTACAAGTGCAAAACATTAATAACTGAAAAAGTGTTTTTGAATTTTTAAAAAGCAATTTTCAATCTAAAATCCAGACAAGAATATTCAATGTATATATCTCTCTTGAAAACACACAAAGAAGTTTTTATATTCAAGAGTTCATCATTTAAAAATAGCTAGATTTCGTTTAACTATATTTTTCCCTCAAAATGATCCTAAATAAAATAATGCTCCATGTTTAAATTTTGGTTTTGATATACACAGTGAAAGGTGAAATAATGAAATTCAGATGTCTTCTGTACTCCTTCTCTAATGCAAGGTCATGTAAGCCTGAAGCATCTCTGACAAAAATTATTAATATACTATAAATCTTGCTTTCTTCAAAGCATTACCAGAGGTCCAACAGTTTCCAATACAATTAAACAATTTTCTCCCGTGTTTTATTGACAGTAATTTTGTTAATACACTCTGGAATGGCATTTGTTTTTATGCAATAGAATCCTGATTTTAACTGATATTAAATTTGTGACCTATTATAATTCCTAGACTCCTTGGTACTTGCACCTGACCAGGCATTCCTCTTGCTTATTCTTTTCCTTCTGTGTGTAGCAATTTCTATGTGTTACAACAGTTCACCTTCACTGCTTCCCGGTTTTTCAAGATGGTTTTGCATTTTTAACCTTCAAATGTTTACAGCCTTTCCAACCTCACGTCATGAGGATATTTTAGAATCATACTGCCAATTCTTCTGCATAGAACATTAATAAATAACCTAAACAACGTGTATTTCTATTTAATACATTCTCCCACTCTGGTCATAACATATTCATAACTACCATCTGATTACTTTTTTTAACAATTTGTGCAGAAGCATCAAAGCTACCCAGAATTAGACATTCAGTTCCAGATGCTGACAACTGCCTCCCTTATTTGCACAAAGTAATTAAAACACTGTAATAAACTTTAGACAAGCTTGTCCCCAGGCCATAAAATGTCAGGAATTATCCCATCACCTTCTTATTGCCAAGTACTGCCTAAAAACTGCCTTGTGGTTCACATGGGGGATGCTGTGCCACTTCCACAGATGTGAGCACAGCAGAAAGAGTATTCCCCTGTTCCATTCTGAATCCCTCTCTCCCAACATTACTACAGTTCCTGATGTCTCTTTTCTTACCACCCAATGCTAAGATAACTAGAGTTTAAGTCATTGAAAATACTTTCATTGAAAATACCTTGGGATTTACTAACATAACCGCTATTGCTCGTAGTGTAAATCAGGGCTGTGATGTGAGAGGCTCTTTACAAACACCAAAGAAGACCTGCACTGAGTACTGCCTACGTGTTCACTTCCATTATTTTACCGTTTTCTTCAGGGCCACACGCTCTGCAGACTCCCGTATCGCTACTTTCCTTGATTTTTTCTCATGATGTTCCTCTTCAGAGACAGACTTGGCCACCTTGCTGACACTAACTCCTTCACCAGTCGCAAAGAGGTTCCTTTTGGCAACGTAGGCAGCGCTCTCTTTAATTCTTTCTTCTTCTGTATCTGTGATCCCACTGATATTTACTTCACTGAAAGAAGATTTAAAAAGCAGAATTATATTGGAAAATGCGGAGAACATATTGCACTTATATTTTCTATTCAGTCAGCCAACTACAGAGGATATTAAAGGTCTTTCATATTAGCTATTTCATAACGTATCTCTGCCTTGAAGATCATTACTTTTGTAACAGACCAAAGGTATTCAAAGCAGAAACACGAAAGCGTAGTGATTAATGACAGAGTATTCAGTCCCTCTTTTAAGTCATGGCCATTTTCAGTGCCCCTCTGTACAGACATGCCAAGCAAAATTTCCACTTAACAATTATTATCTCCGTTGTTACAATGATGAGTTTAAAGCACATCCACATATCTGTTAGGCTCAAGGGTCAGTGATTTACAGGCATAGCATTAGTAGTAAGAATATCAAGGGGACAGGATAATTGTAGCAGTATAATAAAATTCTTCTTTCTGATCTTTTTTTAATTTATTTTTAATAGAAGAACACTGAATATGTGACACAAACTCTCTTTGTTCATAAAAAATTCAATCCTTTAATGTTTGCAGAATGACCGACCTTCCAAGCATTTTTAAGGAGATGAATAAGGATTTCCTTGAAACATTTCTACAAATTAGGATGCAAAGAACTTGTATTCCCAACAGCTCCAATCCTATTTTAAGATGCACACATGGAAGTACTATTGGGGTCATGTGTTTTGACACCATCAGGACATCATAGATTCTATAGTAATACATATACAGTGAGAGTTCCTTGACCTAAGGAGAAACATTACTACCTTTCTGCTGATTTTATTTACTTCAGGTCAGGGGGCTGGAACATCTCTGCTACAAATACAGGCTGAGGAAATTGGGCTTGTTCAGCTTGAAGAAGGAAAGGCTCTGAGGAGACTTCATCGTGGCCTTCCAGTACTTTAAGGGAAACCAACCTTTTACATGGAGTGGTAACAACAGGACGAGGGGAAATGGCTTTAAACTAAAAGAGAGGAGATTTAGTTTAGATGTCAGGAGAAAAAGCACTGAGGCATTGGCACAGGCTGCCCAGAAGAACTTTGGATGTCCCATCCCTGGCTTGAGAACAGGCTGGATGTGACCCTCGGCAGCCTGATCCAACTCCTCAAGGCAGAAGGATGGGAAATGGATGATCTTTAAGGTCCTTTCCAACCCAAGCCATTTTATGCGGATTTTATGAACATTAGATGGCAGAATGAAAAGAGGCTCTGTTTGAGTACTGGACAAGCTTTCTCGTTAACACTACAAAGAGAAAAGACATTGTTTATTTCCAGGATACACTCAAGCACAGCCTTGCTGTTTGATTATAAAATGCTTCTGCTACATATAAAAATGATTTTCTGTTTTCTCTAAGATTACTAACATTATGCATTTGATAGGACATCTCAACATTAAAGAAAATTTGGATTCAAGCCCACAGCTAACTGTCCAACTCCTTACATCAAGAGCACAATGTCAATTCAGTGAGAAGCAATACAGTCAAGCAGTTGAGTATGCTGTAAGAGTAATTATTCATAAAAGATTGTCAAAAGGCTAACAGCTTTATTAACAGCTTAGAGCTTTGACTTCCCTCGCATGTTCAAATTCTGCCGTTCTGTGTTTGTCTACTTCAGTGATTCTTAAGTGTATCAGTGTGACAATTCTCTTCACACCAGCACATCAACTCTTCTCAGAAATATCTGAGCTGCAGAGATATGACAAATTTCTAAGGACAATTTTGAAAGCCTGATTTAATGCATATGAATGCAGTTATCTACATTCAGTTTTAAAAAATCAGTGGCATTCTGTTTCAAAGGCAAACTGACATTACTTCCTTGATAACAGCAATTAAGATCTCAGCAACTTCACAATACGAACCTCAAGGAATAAAGCACTTCCTGGGAACTGATGAATCCTCAGCCTAATACAGGACTCAGCCTAGCTGTCTGCAGTAATGGTCCCTAGAGGTTTTTGATCAACAGCATTAAATATTTAGTTTTGCTAAGCATTTTTTCCTTGCTGTAATCTTCCCAGATCAAAGAAAAAACATGCTCCCTGCAAGGATGAATGCATCAGAAGAAGCAGTCAGTAACATTCAAGAATTGATTCTGCAGCCATGTCTCAAGGGTTTCAATAGAATATCATTTTCAAACAGAAGCAAGATCAAACTCCAAATGACACACACAAATTACTATTTACAGAGTATGTACCATCTGCAGTTCTTTGGCTGATACTTGTTAGTGGCTGCAAAGAGTCCCACAACCCATACCAAGTATTTTTAGCACCTACGACAGTACATCAAGTCTTATTACCTGGAATAATGGCTAGCCCTCCCTAATTTTATCTTGCAAGCATAAGGCTATGTGTTTCAGAAAAAGATGTACGAACTGAATAATCTGCATGAGGGATACATATTTCTTTTTCCAGCAGAATCTGATGGTCTGAAATAGAATCAAATCACAGAAAGGGTGACACAGTGCTGAAGGTCATCCAGCAGCCCAGGCATCAGCACCAATGAATGCACGTAGAGCTGACCTTTGTAAAGAAGTATCCCTTGTCAAAGCTATCTCCCCATGGGAAGCCACACATCCCTTTCACAGGGGAATTTGGGAATGACATATAACATGCACATGATTCAGCTGCTATCTTCCAAACAAAAATAAACACATGACAGGAATGTGGCATGCAATTTCCACAGCCATGGCATGTGCTTATGGACATGATGCCAACAGAAAAAAAGCCTAAAAAAGTATCCCAAACATTTCATGCCCTGTTGAGTTGGCATCACATGCCTTTTTTATGTTTTTTAAGTAATTGCAGAAAATCTATTTGGGCCACTTCGGTGGCACAAAATCACAGACAACTTGGAATTGCCAAGTGCAAAAAGTGAGATTGATTCCCATGGTAGTAAGAAGATAAACAGTACAGTGCAAGAATCTGTCAGTATCTTTTAACTTAGTATCTGCAGGTATCACACAGACACAAGCAAATGAAACTGCACATTATCACACTGAATTAGATATCATCACATTCAGTGTACAAAAACAGTGAAATAAAAAAAGAAAGGTCATGCTTTATTAAGATCAGAGGAGCCTGTGTACAATCTAAGATCACCATCCAGGAGCAGAGCAGTCAGTTGCCCAACACTATAAATTTTACTTCTGTAGACTGCAGACAAAATAAAAAGCATATTAATATTTGAGGGTATGGGACACAGATGGTGAAAGCTGAGTGAACTATATAGGTAGTGAAAAGCCTTGAAAATATGTTGCTGTAAGCTTCATGTGAGACACATTTATGTATTTCTATCACAGAATATATATAGCTGAAACCCTGAGAAATACTTGAAAAATGCAGCAGTGGGCACTTCTGAATGTTGGTGGGAAGCGAATCTGACATGGAAACATATAAAGGGAAATTAAAAAAATATTCCAGGATGGTTGAAAGGAATGAATAAAAACCAGAACTGCTGGCCTCATCACAAAAGCAGAATGCTCAGAAGGCAAAAGAATAACATCTCCCACTGACAAAGTGGAAGTCAGCATCACACAAAAGCATGAGTCTGGCCACAGAGCAGGGGTGACGTGCTCTGAGTGCTGACTAAGCAACAGGCACAGGGTACCAACTCCCAGAAACAGTGTGGAAACATCCCATGAAAAACATGCATGGCAGAAGAAAGACAAGCTAGAGAAGGCTTCTGTTCAATTGCGGGTGGGCAAGAAACTTTTCTTCTGGCCTCAAATCAGACATCTTTTTTCTACACCCCACCCTGGTATGGATCAGTGTGAACAAATGGCCAGACTTGATCTATCACATATTCCTAACAGAATCATTATGCTATATCCTGAAAAGGACAAGGGAGCTTCCTTGCTTGTGTTGGTTCTGGCTTTCACACACAGTTCACATTCAGCTTTGCTGAGGACACTGCTGCTGTAAAACGTATTACATCAGTAGTAGCTGTGCAATAAATATCACCAACACGTGAGACCTACATGAATCATTATAACGGATTTGAGAAACTACTTGGTTTCGTCCCAGGTTTTCCCTCTGCCAGGACAAAACATTGGCACATAGTTTCATTGTTAAAATGATTGACAGGGGACACTGGTTTACAAGCCTTTAAACCACCAAAACAAGCTAAATAATGTGGACAGCATGCTCATCCAGTTCCCAGTAAGTGGAGTTATAATTATATCATAATTTCATAGAAAGTGTCCCTGGTGACAAGTTTGAAACAAAGTCCAGACACCTGGATCCATTTGTCCTGGTTCTGGATGCCCCAGGACTGACTTTCTGCCAGTTAGTTAACACCTTTTTAACACTCATGTGAAGTGCAAACAACCTCCTCAAGGTCCAGGAGAGGGGGAAAAAAAAAAAAAGAAAAAAAAAGGATTTGTTTTTTTTTAGAATTCATTAATAAAATATCAGAAGTTGTCAAGAAACGAAAAAGTGCACATACCGTCCTGTGAAAATAGGTACTGAATAGTCTGTGGCTTCATTCTCTTTGTCCTCAGATACCAAATGCTGTCTTGCTCTCTTTGCTTTGGGGCTCATTTTATAGGACTGATCTTCGATCATTAGATTGGAATCTTTCAGTCTGAAATAAAAATGATACTGTTAAAATCAGGAAAAAAGCTGTTAAGAAACATTCCAATATAATATTAAATTAATTCATTTTTGTTATCATTTGAAAAACAAGAAAATATTGTCTTTAAAAATGAAGTTACTAAGCAGAAAACAAAATGCACTTTTTACAAGCAGATCATTACAGATATAACACTGATGCCCCTTGATATTAAACCTAAATATAGAGAATAAACAACATACCTGGTGGCAATGCACATTTCATTGCTTGGTTTGGGACTGGTGAGTTCATATACGCAGTTTTAGTTGCTAAGAACACCAAGTAATTCTGAAGATCATATCTGAACTGATGACTTCTACTTTCCTAAAACGCACAGCTCTCAATTCAAGTCTGGTCTCCAACAAAAATACTGTTGGTAGACAAATATATCCAAAGTTACAATGCTTTTAGGATTCCCCAGAGAAATTATAGGGCAGAATATAGGGCTCAGAAAGTGGAATTTCCTTCAGTGGTGCTCTCTCATACCACCCCAGTGCAATGAAAGCAGAGAGATAAGTGAAGTAATGCCATTTCACGTAGCACAGGTAGATGGGGAATGAATGGGTGGGAAGAATGAAAAGCAAAGCAAAAGAGACTTCTGCTCCCTACCATGAGGGGAGGACTACTGAGCAGTGAGAAGCATATTTGAGGCAGTTCTATTTGGTTAAAAATTGTATTAACTGCACTCCAAATACCTTCCTCCTCTCCAAATGCAACACAGAATCCTTCACTGTCAGATTTATGCATTAGAGCAACAGTATCCTCATAAGCTGCCAGCCTTTTATAAATCTCTGAATTTCCTATTCATCTCTATCTCAGCATCACTATGGAAATCACATGCAACTTTTGAACTGGAGGTTTGTTTGCATGGCACAAACTTACTGATGCACACAGACAAGAGCAGAATTAAGGCATGCCATCTCTCAGCAAGGCTCCTCAGCCCAGAGCCAGACCAAGCTTACAGAAGGATAACGACCAAAACTCATACATACTGAGAAGAAAACACATGCATAATGTAAGATTAAAAAGACTGAAGATAAATAAAAAAAAACTTTCCATCCTGGGTTTGGCAGTGATGTGGTACAACCTGACAGCCAACCAGAAATGCATGGAGACAACTCTGTCAAATAAATGGTGAGAGAAAGCAAAAGTAATGTTTAATCAGTTTTCGTAAATGAACTGTGATCTATAAGGAACATCTGTCCTTTACTTAGCAGCTGACTTTTATTTTTGTCCTAATTTAAAATGGGGTAAACCTGGAATTGTGACTCAGCCACCAGACAGCCTTGGGGCTGTAGGCTGAACCTATTAGGAGGCCACTTAACTCCTTGCTTTGTTTCTAGATCACATAAGGTCGGTGTCTTTTGGTCTTCGGTTTAAAAGTCAAGAAGTTTCTGTTTTCATAAAAGCAGACAAAATGTGGTGAAAATGTCATAGAATATCCCAAGTTGGAGGGGACCCATAAGTCCAACCCATCAAGTCCAACACTATGTTTTGAGTACTGTTAAATACAAACCCACTTGTTCCCAAAGCAGGATTTGGCTATCACATCAGTTTAATTTTCAGTTTGGGTCCAGATTCTGCACCTATATAGGGAATGAATGGGTGGCATACATAGCAAGTCCTATCACCCTCTGCCAGGCCTTTGTTGATGTTTTCTTTACGCATTGTTCTTTCACTTGTTACTCTCCAAAATTATTCAAAAAGGAGAAAATTCCTCTAGACTGTTCTTTCTTTTTCTCTTTTTAAATCAAACACTGCAAGAGGCTGAATCTGAATACCTCACCTTCATAATTTATGCCTTCTACAGCTGGCATTAATGAAAATATCCTCTAAGCCCTTCAGATTGATGTCAGACATCTTCACCACAGACTGAAAAAGTGGGATAAAATTAGGTCTTCTGCAGAGTTATGAGGAATAGGATAAAAATACTACACATACACAGATTCCCACTCACTGCAGTTTTCTAAGCTATGTGTCTATATGATCAAGGCACCTTTTGCTGTAGCCACCTGATTACTTTGGCTGTCGCAGTGAAAACACACCTAGTGTGTATGTGATGAGAATCAGGAAAGCACCTTCCTAGACAACTTCCCCACTCTTCTTCAGTTCAAAGGGGCAGCTGCAGTGGGAGTCTGTGCTGTTTCTAAGAGCGATGGCTGCCCATTGGTACTATGCAGGGGCTCAGAACACTTTGCTATCAAAGCCACAGGTGACATCTGTGAACTGAACAGACACATGTAGGGTCTCCAGTCATTTATTGGACTCAGGCTTTCTCACACGAAAGTGAACAATTTACTGCAGTCATCTGCTCTTCCAAAAACACAACCTGGACTAAGCAATATCCCCCTGAGAAGCATTATACTGATTAATGACAAGGATGCTTTTAGACCAATTCTCCACTCTAGCAATAGTCTAAAGCTCATTTTTCTAATAAGTTTATATAGAGAAATAGATCCCTAGAAAAATCTTTCTGATTTCAAGCAGGAAGACAAGTAAGAAGCTGCATCACTACTACAGAAATAGGTTTACAGCTGATTTATATCAGGCAAAGAGCACTTTCTTTTGAATCTGTTTGAAGTTAATGACACTATAATGTACTTTGTGCTTAATTGTTGAATACCAGGGGAAAAAAAAATGTTCCTTGTTCATTTTCTATGTATCTTTCACAACGGTATACACTCTTACATGCCTACATTTGACTCCTTCTCAAGACAAGAGCCCCAGTCCCTTAGCTTCTCTAGGCAGAGAGTATCCTCCTTCTACCCCCCTAGCCCCCCCTGCCCCCCCCCCCAGTCAATCTCCAGTCCTTTCCTAGTTTCAGACTGTACTTTTTGGGGCAGGATAATAGGAACTGCACCCAGTACTTCAGCTACAAGAATACCTTGGATTAACGCACTGACAGAGCATGCTTCCTACTTTGTTCTCATTTGTTGCCACAGCTGTTCCTAATCTTCTAATTGCCTTGTATCCACACCATAGCACCCAGCTGGTGCTTTCAGGAGTACCCAGAGCAACTCCAAAACCTTTTTCAGAATTGGAGTGCAAAAGCTGAGATTAATAAATTTGAAGTGAAAGAAAACATTTCTCCTTTCCAAACCCTCCTATCACTTGCATCTATTCAGGGTGAGCTATGTGGATAACAGCAGAAATTATTATTCAGACGGATTCTGCATGTGAAAACAAATTGGTCATTACTGCTACCATGAGGTGTATTCCCATGTTTTTCTTTTTTGTTATTACTGTTTCTTCCTGTGCAATACAAAACCAAACCCTGCCCACCATTATTAACCATTATTTAGGTAGCCTAAGGGGGGACTCTGCTTTCTTGAACTGGTTTCTAAAATCTTGGCCTTTATTTTAAAGTGTTCCAACCTTTTACCTGATATGTGGAACAGAATCTCCCCAGAGGAGAAGGAGCAGGATATCAGAGCTCTCTGATTTCACAGGGAGGAACAGTACCATGACCTTTTAACAGCTTTCTGCCTCACTTGATCTACCCAGCTAGCACACATGTACGTTTTCTAGGTCAGATGCTATCTGTGGTACTTTATCAAGGTTGGTGACCCAAGTCCTCCTTTCCTGATGGTTTCAGCGTGTTAAAGTATCAACACCAGCATTTTCTCAGTTTCACTGTAGAGTCACTGAATATATGGAATGAGGAGCTGGATGGTTATAAATGCTAAAGCACAGGTATCATCCTGTAGAGATATTAAAAAACTGGTATTAGCATTCCATATAGCCCAACAGAGCAATGTTACTGTGCAGAGCCTATGAGACTCCCCAGAAGAGGTTGCGTTCTGATGCCATATTCTCGTATGTATTCTCATTTATATCTTCTTCAATATATAAACAGACTTCAGTATGTTGGCACTGCCCTTGTCCCTATGCCTGAAGTGACAGGTTCCCCATCCTGCACAAAGAAAGCCTGGGCCTGATAGATGTATCCTAGTAGTGGGCCACAACACCCTACTTCGCAGTTATTCTTCCACAGCATGAAAGGCATCTGTAAGCTCATCAGCACTAGAAAATTATCTTGTCCTTAGGATGCTTTTCTAATGACTCTGACTTTATTCTGCCAGCAGGCAGAGATGCTGTTGGTGCATACCATAGCTGTACCATAGGAGCTCCACTAGCCAAGAGGCATTTCTCAGGCCCATCTGCTACAGCTACTTATTTTCTAGCATGTAATGTTTGAACTGATTCACTATGAAAAGGAGAGAGTGGATTGACAAACCATGAGAATATATATATATATATATATATATATATATATATATA